GCCACCCAGTCCCTGCGCCGCCACGCGGCCCGCCTGGTCGGCAGCGCTGCGCACGCCGGTGAGTCTCGAAAGGTATAGTGGGCGGGACGTATCCAGTGGTGATCAGACCGGGAGAGATGGCTGCAGGGCGTCAACTGATGTCCTGCAAGGTCCTAGAGGTGACAGTCCGTCATACCAGAAGTGCAGTGATTTTCGACACTAGCTTGTCAGCTAGGTCGAATTTAAAGTCGCTGTCTGGAGGTGAACATCTAGTTTCTTCATGAGTGTATTAGCTTTCCGGTGGTATCTCCCGATCAACTCCTGACCGAATGGCCGGAAGCAGTACGCCCTAACAACGGCCGGGCGCGATCTCAACTTTCTCTCTTGTGTCCTATCTCGCCCTTACAAACACTTACACTAACATGCACTACACTTCCACACACGCCGGCACCCGCCAGGGAGGCAGTGGCTGTCCCGCTGGGCGCTGTCGCCGCTGGTGGGGACATCTGTAATCAAGAAACCCCCCCACCCATGCTTGCAGACGATAGGTCAGCGCAGGATCTTGCCATACAGCGGGGAAAATCACCGCCGCCACCCGAGCAAAATAACATGCGACACACTTACGGAATAACTACGCTTCTGCTTCCCTCAAAGTAAAGGCGAGTATGGTAAAAGCGCTTGATGTGGTTGGGTGCGCATGCGCAGAGCCGGCGCCCGGGCGCGCGCTGTTCGACGTGTCGGAAGTGGCGCTAGGCGGGCGAGCAGCCGTGGCGCATAGTGGCTTCCTCTTCCTACGAAGTAAAGCGACAGAGTAGAAGCGCTGATGTGCGTTGGGGTGCGCATGCGCAGAGCCGGGCCCGGGCGCGCGCTGTTCGGACGTGGCGGGGGTGGGCGCTGGCGTGGCGCGCAGCAGCCGTGGCGCATAGTGCTTCCTCCTTCCTACGAAGTAACAGGCCGACGAGAAGTAGAAGCCGCTGATGTGGTTTGGGTGCGCCAATGCGCAGAGCCCAGGGCCCCGGGCGCGCGCTGTTCCGACGTGGCAGGATGGTGGCGCTGGCCGGGGGCGAGCAGCCGTGGGCGCATAGTGGCTTCCTCTTCTTACGAAGTAAAGGCGAGAGCAGTAGAAGCGCTGATGTGGTTGGCGTGCGCATGCGCAGAGCGCGGGCCCCGGGCGTGCGCTCTTCGACCTGGCGGCGGAGGTGGCGCTGGCGGGGGCGAGCAGCCGGGCGCATAGTGCTTCCTCTTCCTACGAAGTAAAGGGCGAGAGAGTAGAAGCGCTGATGTGGTTGGGTGCGCCATGCGCAGAGCCGGCGGCCCCGCGTGCGCTGTCGACGTGGCGGACGTGGCCGCTGGCGGGGGCGAGCAGGCCGGGCCCCCCCCCCCCCCCCCCCCCCCCCCCCCCCCCCCTGGCGCAAGTGCTTCCGCCCTACAAAGTAAAGGCGAGAGAGTAGAAGCGCGGCTGATGTGTTGCGCAGTGCGCATGCGCAGAGCCGAGCCCCGGGCGTGGCGCTGTTCGACTGGCGGACGTGGCCGCTGGCGGGGGCGAGCAGCCGTGGCGCATAGTGCTTCCTCTTCCTACGAAGAAAAGGCGAGGAGAGTAGAATAAGCGCTGATGTGTTGGGTGCCCGCATGCGCAGAGCCGGCCCGGGCGTGCGCTGTCTCGACGTGGCGGACCCGTGGCAGCTGGCGGGGGCGAGCAGCCGTGGCGCATAGGTGCCTTCCTCTATTCCTACGAAAAGTAAGGCGAGAGACGAATAAAGGCGCTGCATTGTGCGACATGGTCGGCGTCGCATGCGCAGAGCCGGGCCCCGGGCGCGCGCTGTTCGACGTGGCGGAGGTTGGGCGCTGGCGGGGGCGAGCAGACCGTGGCGCATAGGTGCTTCCTCTTCCTACGAGTAAAGGCGAGAGAGTAGAAGCGCTGAGTGGGTTGGGTGCGCATGCGCAGCAGCCGGCGCCCCGGGCGTGCGCTGTTCGGACGTGGCGGACGTGGCGCTGGCGGGTGGCGAGCAGCCGTGCGGCATAGTGCTTTCCTCTTCCTACGAAGTAACAGGCCCGAGAGAGTATAAGCGCTGATGTGGTTGGGTGCGCATGCGCAGCAGCCGGCCCGGCGCGTGCCGCTGTTCGACGTGGCGGATCGTGGCGCTGGCGGGGCGAGCAGCCCGTGGCGCATAGGTGCTTCCTCTTCCTACGAAGTAAAGGCGAGAGAGTAAAGGCGCTGAGTGGGTGGGTGCGCATGCGCAGAGCCGGGCCCCGGGCGCGCGCTGTTCGACGTGGCGGAGGGTGGCGCTGCGGGGCGAGCAGCCGTGCGCGACATAGTGCTTCCTCTTCCTACGAAGTAAAGGCCGAGAGAGTAGAAGCGCTGATGTGGTTGGGTTGCGCAATGCGCAGAGCCGCGGCCCCGGCGCGCCGCTGTTCGACCGGGGCGGAGGTTGGGCAGGCTGGCGGGGGCGCAGGCAGCCGTGGTGCATAGCTGCTTTCCTAATTCCTACGAAGTAAAGGCGAGAGAGTAAAAGGGCGCCTGATGTGGTTGGCGTGTGCATGCGCAGAGGCCGGGCCCGGCGTTGCGCGTTCGACGTGGCGGAGGTGCGCTGTGTTGGCGGGGAGCGAGCAGCCGTCGCGTCCCCCGCGCATTGCGCAGCGCCTCTGCTGGCGAGGGTTGCTGCTGGTTGGTGCTGGGGGGGGCAATGCTTACTCCGGCAGCTGCTGGGGTTCCTGGCCGCCTCCGCCGCGTCTTCCAGACGCCAACACCCTCGAAGGTACTTCTCTCTCTCTCTCTCTCTCTCTCTCCTCTCTCTCTCTCCTCTCTCTCTCTCTCTCTCCCTCTCTCTTCACACACACCACACACACTTCGCTGGCTCTCTCTTCTCGCCTCGCTCTCTTTCTCTCTTTTTCTCCCATCGTTTCTTCTCTCTCTTTGTGTCTCTTTCCTCTCTCTTTCTCTCTCTTTCTCTCTCTTCTCTCTCCTCTAACTCTTGTGTTCTCTTTCTCTCTCTTTTCTACTCTCTTACACTCTCTCTCTCTCTCTCTCTCTCTCTCTCTCTCTCTCTCTCTCTCTCTCATCTAACAATTTTTGTTTCTACACAGTGAAATGTTGATAAACCCCAATTTGGTTTACTACAGAAGGCAACACCTATTTCTGATCTAAACGAATTTCTAAGGCATTTATCTTGACTGTTTTACAAAAACGAGCTACCCATTATTCTTATGTTATTCTGACTTTCGAACATTTTTATTATGACACGAACCACCTTTATCCTATTCTCAAGTGCATTTCGTTTTTTCGCCTGTGAGATGGGAAAAGAGAAAACCAAAATTTTATTTACGGTGGGTTAATGCATTACTTCAAAAGTCTTAAAAAAACTAGACAGCTATTTCCATAAATATGATCAGTGGGATGTGCAATTGCCATCCCGCTCGCAAATCAAATGCATTGTATCAAATTCTGAATGTTATAGAATATGTATTTATGTAGTTCTTCCGATTTTTCATTGCAGGTTTATTATATTTTTAATTAAATATCATATTATCCCGTTATTCCATTATATTTAGATTAATTTCCTCATATCATAGTTTTCCTTAAATCTTTTATCCAAATATATTATCGTTTATTTCCTCTTATTTTTTAGATCATTTCCTTCGCATTATATTATTTTCTTAAAAATTGTTAAAAGTTAATTTAAAAAATTAAAGTTATTTGACATTTTTATGATTTCTTCTCGTATCTCGTACAGCGTTTTTGAGGAAATAATGAATTATAGTCAAATATTTTTAATCAACTTTTTTTAATTCAAATTTTTGGTAATTTTTTTCCCACAGATAGAAAAAGGGACACATAAAATAATAGTACTGGTCTCATTTTCGTTCAACTCTGGATTAATGAAAATTGCAAACAATTCAGAAAAATTGCCAGAAAATATTTACGATGTTGTATGCAACCGCTAGTTAATTTATTATTGCGGGTACAGAGAACCACCTCCATTGAAAACACCTTTCTCTGTTTTAACTGGAACGTGTGTACGAAGAGGTTATATGTTATTTTTCATAGGATTGTGGACCCAGAAGTGAGATGCCTTTCGTTTTAATTTACCTGTGTAATTTTATTAAGGGTAGCATGTGCCTTCTTCCCCATTTACTCAATATGCTTACTAAATAAAGAAGAAGAAGAAAAACAATAGTTGTCTTTCCCACCAGGTGGCGGAGCCGCTGTATGCGCGCCGTTGCTCACGCCCCTTTGCGACAGCCCGCTTTCCTGAAGACCCTGGCGGACGCGTGGGCTTCGCGCAGCTGCAAAGCAAGTTGCAGTTGGTGGAGGCCTATGAACGTCCTGTCCTACTCGCGAATATCACGGAGCAACGTGCGACACGGCGCTCACGATTTCGGAGCGCAAGCTGGAGTGCTTCCGCTTCATGCCAACTACATGCGCGACGGACAGTGACGCTGCACCAAGGCGCGGAGTGCGTGCTCAGCCCCGGCCAATGGGCTTCCTGGTGAACGCGCGACTCGCCCATCTACGACCTGGTGAACCGCGTTCGTGCTGCGCTGCGATGCGAGGCCGGGGCTGCGGCGCAGTGGCTGCGCGCGCAGCGGCGGCGCTGGTGGCGGCGGGCGTTGGCTGGTGGGCGCGCGAGGCCAAAGCGCCGGCCGCGGGTCGCTGCGCGTGGCGCAAGCTGGCCGGCCCGCCGCTGCTGTGCCTGTGCGCGGGGGCTGGCGTGGCGGCGCTGGGTATGGGGCGGGGAGGTGCGGTTTGGCGGCGCAAACGCGTGCGCATGGCTCCGGCTTCATTCCGCCGCTTCTGGTCTCCACGGTCCACTCGCCGCTGACGCGACCCCCTTCTCGGCGCACGGCTGTTATTCAAGTACTTTTCCTAATATCGTTCTGTTATAGCGACCGCGTAACGCAACAGAAAATCGAAAGGGACTCTTAACGGCCGGCGCGCAGTCCGTTTACGGATTTTACAGTGCGGCCTTCCGTTGAAACAATTCAGATTGAAGGTTTTGTTTCACAAAAATCATAAGGAAATTATGCTCGGGCCGGGCGGGCGTGCCTGGTGGGCGGCGAGGGAGAAGGGGCGGCCGCGGGCGCTGCGCGTTGGCCGGCAGGCTGGCCGGGCCGCTGATGTGCCTGGCGCGGAAATGGTGTGGCGTCGCGGCGCTGGCGTGGGCGGCGGACACGCTTGGCGGCCGCAGGGCTGCCCGCCCGTACGACGCCATTGCCCTTCCCTTTTTTCTTTTTTTTTTTTTTTTTTTTTTTCGCTGTAAAATCGTACAATCTTGATGCACCTGTGACTAATTCTTAAAATATTATATATAATTCACACCTATAAATGTTTAAACTCTTGAGAACCTGCTAACAAATTTCAAAAAGACGACTGTGTTATACCAATTGACCAATGATGTCTGCGTCATAAACCAATGTTTTATTAATTTTAACAGTTTTTTTGTTTTATATCAGGAATGCTAATGGGCTGTTTATTGATGTGGTGCTCAACAAAACCTGGGACAATAGGTAACGTCACAATTTGTTTTTATTTATTAGATTCATTACCTCCTAAGTCATCGCTTTAGGTATAAAGATAATGTGTTACATTTTTATTGATTTAAGTTCTCTCAACATTTTATGATTAAACTTTTATTAAGATTTGTAAAATTTTTAATAATATACTCCAAATATGGCCGTAATTCTTTAAAAAATTAAATGTTTTATAAAACACTGAGTCTCTTTTTATATAAGGTCGCATGAAAAGCCTCTGCAATAAAACTACTAACTTACATTTTCTGGTGCCGAAGAGGTTTCTCTTTTTAATGTAATTTTACTGATTTAACTCAGCAATGAACAGTACTTCTCTAAAATATAATGGCAACTTTCCATTGAATCATGATTCATTTGATAATAAACTTCAAGTGTGTTTGGTGTAAATTGAAAAAAATGAGAGAGCTCAGAATGCTGACCCTCGGGAAAGTCCTGGTAAAGCTATATTATTCTTTAGAGCGAAATGGATAATTTATATAAAATATTTATGTCTATCGAGATATTATATGAAATAAGTTTGAAATCATTCATTAGTTTCTGGGATACTTTAGATGAAGTTTTGGGACATTTTCCAAAATTTTCTCAAAAATAGGCTCCATTTTTCTTTAATTTCTTGTAACGATAGAGTAATACATCATACAACGTGGCATAGGTTCGATTTTCACGGCTAGACTCTTAAGTTCCTCGAATATATATGTGTGACGTCATGGTATCACAGCGACCAAGAACTAGAGCTTTCATATAACAATTATTTTATTACACAAGATAAACAAACAATATATAACACTTAATATCCTACTTAACCCCATAGCTCTGATAGACTACTATCCCTGATGCGGGAGCGTATCCAAACCCGATTGAAGATGGTTTTGGATTGCTTGGCATCGCATTCCTATTCTAAGCGCGCCAAAAGCCTAGCTTCCGTGACCAGTGTCAGCTGGACACAAAGCTGTTCTGACGCACCAACGCGGTTGCGTCGATCGCAGGAGCGATTCTATCGATTGAGAATCGCGTGAATCGCTGCACTCAACACTCTTCACTCGCGAGCCCAGACCCAGACTCGCTCCGCCGTGCCCGAGTACACCAAGGACCTAAAGTCCCGCAGGCTTCGTCAACTTAGTGATCGAGCCTCGCGAGCCTGCTGGCATATGCACGTAGTGGCGCTAAGTTTTGTGCACATGACGAGGTTCTCTCACTGTCTCCAGAACCCACCCACTGGCTCTGCTACACTCTGTTATATAGGCGAGGCCCACGTGACCTACTACGGTTCACGCCACCGGCCCCCGCTTGTTATTAACAGTGGAAGGTTTCTATAAGCCGGAAGACCCAAAGCATTGTGTCTCCCGTGCTTTCCGCGTTGCCTTTACGGAAAAAACCCATCTCTCCTTCCTGTGGCGATGCTTAAATCCTCTTACCAAGAAGTCCCAAATAGATGCCACGAGGCACGCTTATGGCTAATTACGTCACAATAGCTTTAATTTGTTCACATTATTATATTTATGAGAACATGTGCTTTAAATAACGTCAGATAAAGCTTGTCGAAAATTCAACCGTTTGCTGTCAAAACTAGCTCAAAATTTCGTAATTTCAGAAACGCTGAAACGCCAGTATCTCAAAAACGGCTCGAAATTTTTCTTCAAACATTTCGAAAGGATAGAGCTAATTGCACTCTTTAATATGCACATTATAGCTATTTGTAAACACAAATAACTTTAAAATGTAAACAACTTTTAAAAAGTTTTTCGGAAACTCAAAACTTTTCTGTGAAAACGTGCTTCAAATTTTGAATTTACTGTAGCGTGTAAGCGCCATTTCGTTAAAAACGGCCCCAATTTTTTAAAGAAAAAAGCCATTTATGACACGGTTTACTGTTCTTTAATATTCTAGAAATAATATTTTCTTTCTATTATTAGGAAACCGAAAAATGAAACTAAAAATAATGTACTTTGGGTGGCGATCGATTGTAGCTGACAGATGTAGCAAGTTCGTATAGCTAGCCGAGATCAAAGGTAATAGAAAACTGATTCGGGAAAGTCTATGCAATTCCGTAGCACCACTAGTTCTTTTTTCTAGTGCAATCTCACATTCTTGATTCCACCAAGGGTATTTTGACTTTTTGTGAAGAGGGATCAGTTTTTTCGCTGTTTTGATGATTTTGGTTTGAAGTTTCTGCCAATTTTCTGCAGGTAGTTTTTCCCATTTTTATGTGATTCGCCTTTGACTTTGAATAGATGGAATTTTGGGATCACTGCTATTTTCCTATTGAATTTTCTTTTGCGGGTGAATTTAATTGTGCTTATAGTTAAATAGTGATATGAATCGATTATGCCACCTCTGCATATTTGCACATTGTGTATTTCCTTTTGATACTCGTATGATATTTTGCTATACGATCAATCTGAAATTCCCCTACATGATGGATGGGAGATCACCAGGTTTTTTGTTTCTTGGGATTTTTCCGAAGTGAGCTTGACATAATTTTGAGGTTTTTTGTTGACATAGCTGGAGGAGTCGTGTGCCATTTTTGTTGGTGTACTAATGTGCGGGATAGTTTCCCACTGTCATTGCATTCTTTGCCAATTTGAGCGTTGAAGTCACTAAGTAGAATGTTCACATCATCTATCAGAGTTTTGGTTTTCTCTAATTCAAGTTCTTCACAGAATTTTTCTATTTTGTTGGGCTCTTTCTTATTGTCACTATTTGTTGGTGCGTGTACGTTGATGAAGGTGTAGTTTTTGATTGTGTGTTTGATCCTTATAGTCATAAGTCAATTGTTGATAGATTTTACTTATTTTACTTAATCTAATATTATTTTATCCACAAGAAAAGCCATGCCAAACAGTGCTGCTCCTTTGCCAACTCTTAATAGTTCCATTTTTTAAGATTCTGTGGTTATTGTAGTCTGTCGTTTCTGAATCTGTGAAGCGTGTCCGGGCGAGAATTTTGATTTTCTGCTTCGTGAGTTCTGTTGTGACATTGTGCAGTTTAGAATAAGTGTCTGAATGTTCAAAGTGCCAATGTAAGTGTGTGTTTTTCGAGGTAGTTTACCAGAGCACTCCAGCTCGCTCTTTCGTGTAAGGTCACGCTCCCGAGAATCCGAATGCTTGGTTGCCACTTTGGGGTAGGTGGATCGACCCCCTGGGGTAATTTTGTCTTTACTTGTACGAGTCATCTCTACTTGTAATTGAATTTCTAGCTTTTGCTAGTGGTGTAGAATCAGGGATTGTGAGTTCCTGGAGTGGGTTTGCAGCCGCACCTCCTGGTGAATATTATTATTATTATTATTATTATTATTATTATTATTATTATTATTAAAGCCACGAAAATACATTGCCACTGAAATATAGCCTAAAATGAACACTTTTTTCTCAGAATTCATAAAATGTCATTATACATATATAATATAAGACAATTATTTGTGCAGGATAATAATTAAGCCAAAATATGACATCCTGTACACAGAGTGGAGTTTTATTCACTTCTATCAACTATTATTTACATTATTAAACATAAACTATTTACAATACTTTGTTCTTACCTGTAAACAGAGAAACGGCAATTTAATCTCACTACTTACCGCTTCTCCATTTACACAGCATATTTTAATTACAATATATCTTTCTCATAAACTTTCTATCTGTACTAGTGACTATCTAAATTTCTGGTAATGATCGTACTACTCATTCCATCTAGCGGTCCTAAGTCGAACTACCCGCTAAGCGTGGGAAGCGCGGAATATTCAAATTGAAGAAAATATATTTTCTTTACACACGCACGCACACGCACACACACACATATCTATATCTATATCTATATCTATATATATATATATATACTATATTATATTATATCTACATCTATTATATATATATATAGCATATATAGATATATATATTGATATATAGTTATGGTAATATGCGGCTGTGGGGCCATATAATTACTTTATGGTGGAGGTCACGGTGTAAGATTATATTTCTTACTCCGTGGAGGAAGCTATGTGGCAACAAAGTATATATCGGATGTAACCAAAGACTTCTATACAAATGTATTGTAACTCGTTGGTGTGGCATGGCATGAGGATGGGAACGCATGGCCATCACTACCAACTGTGCAAAAGAAAAAACTTAACGAATCCGGCAGTGAAAGCGTGTGCAAACTCTGTGAAAATCTATGTCGCAGATTTCATACTACATTTTGCCGAAAGATAGACAAAACTGCGCCAAAATAAGTGTTACATGACTTGTGCAAATAAAGCGATTTTGCGTGCCCTTTGGATTTATTAAATGTTTTTTTCAATAATCGTTGGAAGAAGTCGTTGCGATACAATACTTTCTTCTGTCGTTATCAGGTGAATAGCCAACATTGCAATGTGAAAGCTGAGTTTACTACAACCGGCAGCACCTTGCGATATAGAAAGTGGGTGTGGGTGGTGTCAATGTGCGAAATCGGAACACCTTCCCGGGATTCTCAATATTCGTGTGTGGCAGCTAGTTTTTGTTGTTTCTTCCAATGGTTTTAAAAATATTTATGTGAATGGTATTTCAGCAATATTCTTTCCTCGACAAAACCGCGCTTACGAATCTTCATTGCAATATATTTTTCCATACCTAAATTACATACTTTTACCGCAATCTTTTCATTCACATGCAGCAATGTCATCATTTCTCACGAAATTGAATCGTGTCTTATGTAGCAGAAATATAGTGAGTATATTACTTTCAAGTTTACCACTGTTTCATTTCTATTCTAACTTATTCATGTGCTACAGGTTATATCCTCAATAAAGAAAGATGATTTGTGCCTTGTGCGATCCAAATCATTCAGCACTGGAACAGGCAGTAATACTGGGAAAGGCAAAGGACCTGTAACTTGGAAAAGTGTTGGAATCACGGCATGTATAGGAGGAGGATTGTTGATGTATATGCAGTACCTCAAAGCTGCCAAAGAACAAAGTATGAATCCTGATATTTAATTGCAAGTGATAGTTATAGCTTTAAAGGGGTTTGAAGAAATACTTCCAAAGTACATGACATTCGTATGTTACTACATCTGAATTACCTACAAGATATTAATAAAAATTCAAATAAATATTTGATCTTACAATTTTAAATGAATTAACTAAATTTAGTGTAAAGTGTTTTAAAAACAAATTATGGATTTCTTTATGTAGAGATTCTACGTGAAAGACAAAGGGCACTCGGGAAAGCTTCAATTGGTGGTCACTTCGAACTCACTGATCACAACAAGAAGAAAAGAAAAAGTGATGAATTTCTTGGTCAGTGGATTCTAATTTATTTTGGATTTACTCATTGTCCAGATGTATGCCCTGATGAACTTGAAAAAATTGTTGCAGTTGTGAATAAACTAGGTGAGTGAGATGTTTCCAAAGTTGTATATCAGTACTCCCTGTTGATTATTAACTTATAATTAGATTTATGAAGTGTTCATATTCTTTGCGGTTATCCAACTTGAGTTTTTCATCAAATAATAATTTCATTCTTGTTTCAGATCAAGACTCATCTGTTCCTAAAATACAACCTATCTTTATCACAGTTGACCCAGTAAGAGATACTCCAGAAGTTGTAGGCCAGTATATTAAAGAGTTTTCTCCTAAACTGATTGGTTTAACTGGAAATGTTGAAGAAGTTGAGAAAGTTTGTAGAGCATACCGGGTGTACTTTAGTGCCGGTCCAAGGGATAGAGATGATGACTACATTGTAAGTAGTAACATGCACAGTGCTGACATATTATTTGAAATATAAACTGCAATGAAAGAATTACTTATTATTAATCTTATTTTCTCAGGTGGATCATACTATCATAACATATCTCGTGAATCCTGATGGACAGTTTGTGGATTATTATGGACAAACTAAGAAAGTGGATGAAATTTGTGATAGTATACTTATAAATATAGCAAAGTATGGACAACTGCAATCTTCATGGTTTTAGAGTTTTTGAAAATTTAAGACGCTTTCTGGAATGTGAAATATGCTATGAAAATATTTCAGTTAACTCTAAAAGCTTGAAGTCTGCGAGTATAAGAACAATCCTGTAATTTAATGTAGTAGACTAATTAAGGACTCGCGTTAGTAATGATAACACTAGGGTGGTTAGGAAATCTGCTCAAGAGATTTCTTTATATTTGTGAATGTTTTATTTCTCGAATATGTTTTATTTCTCGTGTGCAGATCAAGAGGAGAAGAGTACATTTTAACAATGAATCAGATAATTACATGTACTTGTTATTATGAGGCATTGTTCTTTTGCTCGGGTAAAAATTCTGGTACTTGTAAAGTATTAAAATGGTACATGGCTCATCATTTGCGATGCCACTTTAGAAGAAATAATTGCCAAAGAATGTTTTTTCTTAATTTTTTTGTTTTTAACAAATATTTCAAGAATTGCCTTTTCTTATTTTGAATTAACTTTATATGGATGGTACTGATGAATTGTATTAACTTACAGACTTATTTAGTAACATTTTCACTCTTTATTCTCATCAAATATTTATAATTTGATATATGTGAATAAGTAGAATGGAACAATGAAGGTAGAGGATATTTTGTAGCCACACGCATTGTGAATTATATTTTCTCTTTATGCTAAAGAAAAATTTAAAATTGGAGTTTTTTTCTCACATTTGTAAATTTATGTTTTTACATGGCCAACGAACTCAATTGAGTGATTTTGGTGTCAGGTCAAGTGCTCTATAATAACTCCAAAGAGCAAAAGAAGGTGCAGATTCAGATGGTGCTGATAGATTAAAAAATTCTAAAAGTGTTCTCAGTGACCTGATAATTCATGGAAGCTTGATTCTTGATTGATTGAATCAACAATACATCTACAATAGTCTGCAATGCTTTATTTGTGTTCATTTGGAGTGGAGTAGTATTGTTGCAAATGAAGCAGTATAGAAAGAGCGTGAAGATTGTGAAGCTGTGGCATGAAGAGAATGCATTGGTTGATATTTCTTGAAGTTTTAATCTTCACATATTATGTTTTGCTGCATTATTTGTGAATAACTAACAATTAAAACAATTGATAAGTTGTGGTTTACTGACAGTTTAAAATTTTCTATGCATATTTGTTGTAAGAATTAACAAAATTTTATGAAAAAATATATACCACATTTATTTATCTTTTATTAATTGAATAACATTAGACAATTGATTACATTTCATTAATATTCGTGTTTGAAGAACAAAAACATACAAAAATACTTCATACTAACACTTTTCAAAATTTATTACAAGAGGCATCACATGAAAAATGGAGGGCAGCAGGGGTTGCTTCATTTTTAATGAATTTGTGTTTGTTTGATTTTTAAATAGTTTTCAGTGTCAGTTGCACATGCTGCTAGAGGTTTTGATGGACTTGAAGCAATAAGTCCAGAATATTTTAATATTTTCAGTAATGATGATGATCTGAAATTAAATCAATAATTAATTAATTTAAGATAAAGTTCAGGCATACACACAGTTGGTATTGAGACAATTATGTAGTGCTGCAAAAAATTGGATGAGATGTAAATAGAAATACACATTTTAGAAGAACCTTATTCCTCGAAAAATATTTGTTTCTTTGGGTGTGTCTGTTAGCATCACATCTCTAAACCACTTGTGGTATTTTCCCCAAAATGAATATTCTGTAATGAATCCAACCTATCAGAAATCCCAGTAAATTTAAAATGAATCTTTTGATTTTTGGGTGATCTTCACATGACATGTAATATTCAGGGTAACTTCGCAATAGTCCAAATATTGTCAAAAATGTTGCAAGTCTATTTTTCTTTTTTTTTTAATCTTATTCTTGAAAAATTACAGAAGTTGAATGTTTGGAACTACCCCTACACTAACAGTATTGTAAACCTCGTTCCATGACTCTTGCAGCAAGTAACTGATGAATAATTTTATTTTACTTGTAGTAAACAATTTTCTCATACGTGAATTATTTAATGAGTTAGTGTTCGCATTTTAGAAATGATACAATTTTGGCAACGGTGATTCACTGTATCTAAATTCTTTTTTTTTTTTTTTTTTTTTTTCCATTTCATGTCAGTAGTGGTTTGTTAATTATGTGATCGATAACCTTCTTTGAATTTAGTATGATCAGTGGAGGTACTTTTATTGTAATACCTAAACTGAAAGAATGAATTAAGTTGTGTAATTGCTCTTTCTTGCAATATCATTGTTAAAATCTCTGCATACAACAATGGATCAAAAGTGTGATTGCTGACTTAGTGTATGTTATCTCTATTTTTTTTAAGAATATAATATAATCTGTTGGAGGTCTAGAGATACAAAGTAATTAAAGTTTTAGCATAGGAAGATGTAATACTATAGATAATTAATACTATAGATATTCAAGAGCGTTTTAAACAGATTACACATTTAATTCTGTCAAGGAGATAGAACCGATATTATTTCCAACGTAAATGCGGGAACTCCCACATGCAGGACCTTTATGTGATTCTTTTCCTCTGCAATAACAGCCTGCAAGGTAAAAGTTTGGAATTTGGAAAATGCTAAGTTAATTATGAAATAACCAATATTCTGAAAAGCAGAGAACATCCATTTGATTTAAATCGCTCTGTAGAGCTGCTTCGATAAACTCGGTTTTATTGAAACGGACTGAACATAATGGTGCAGTATGTGTATCCTTTGCAAGTACCTACACAGATTTTTTTTACTGCATCTGACTGTAGTTGCTATATATTTACTCCATTTTTATCTCAAGTGTGTGGTCAAAGGTTGTAACGTGTCCCAGCAATGACAGATTGTGAGGAAATTAGGGCATCAGGTGTAGGTGAATTGGTTGTGGGAATGGGAGTAGGATCAGAGGAGGAGGTAAGAGGGTTTGAAATAAGGGGGGGGGGTGGAGAGCGTAAGGATGGTGAAAGGGATGGATTTTTGGCAGGAGTTTGCGTAGGACCGGAGTTGCCGGTGTTGTGCAAGCTTGTTGCGGACTGCATGTTTTCAGCAAGGTTCATGTGGAGACCATGCCGGGTGAAGTGTTCTGCTGAGAGGAAATTAATTTCAAAAAGTGATACATTGGTTTCTCTCACTTGCAGTTTTAATTGTTGGTTTGCGTGCTTAAGTGCATAGTGTTGGACTGTTGTATCAGAAGGGCAGAGTTGAGATTACCATTTTGGGCGGCATATTGTAATTTGTTTACATGTTGTTCAGGTGTAAAGTCACCGCCCAAATTAATGACATTCTACCATCCTATGACAACGATTGTGTCCTAATTGGTCAGTGTCTACGTGTTGGTGTCCAACTCTGCAGTCACGTCTCCCTGCGAACAAACCCTAGGTTTAAAAATAGATGAATCTGAGTAGATGGAGGGTAACTTCCTACTACGAATGGAGGAAAGATGACGGCCATGGCTGTCAGCTAAAATAAGTACTACTTTGTGTGGCTCATTAGGAATGTCTTTGTTTCCAAGTGGGCTATGATGCGCAGCTTCACGTGTTTTGGTTTTGACGCGCTTCATAGCCTGTTTGCGTTGGTTTGTGCATGACTTGTAAAGAACACGTGGAGTTTAATTAATTCAGCGTGAAAAGCGGCAAGACATCGGCAGCAGTTCAGTACTACGAAACAACCTCGACAGTATGATCGAAGAACGATAAGCTCGCTTAGCAGGCCGAGGATTCGCGCGAAGACCGAATGTCGATTTGCAGGACGCGTGCGCTCCCTTGGCCAGTGGCGGTGGCCGTAGCTGCGGAACTAAGCCTGAAAACCAGTCAACTCGACGTCAGAGGAGTTTTATTTGAATGGTGAGATCGAAGAACAAGTGTCCGTGGAGCATCAACATTTTCAAGTCATTTTAAATCACTCAGCTGAAAATATATAGGATTTCTCTATGAGACAAATAAAATGTTGAAGAAATTCGAGGCAGGCGACGTGGTTTGTTTGTTAAACGAAGCAATGTCAGGGTTGCGCCAAGCGGGACGTACTTGGTACTGCTAGCAACTCCGTGCATGTATCACATCGGACCAGTTCAGAGTATGAGTTCTGTTATAGTCTACATCGATGACATCCTCATTGTATCGCGAGAGGAGGCCGACATCGAGAGGCAGAAGAAGTACCTCAACACCAACTTCGAGATGAAGGGTCTGGGGGCATTCAGATTTGTTTGATACTTGAATTTTCGAGAGGCAAGAACAGCAAGAGTTTTGAATGAAAAATAAAAAATAATTCCACACAAGCCTATCTTGATTACGTTTGCAATGACCTTTCATTTTTTTAACACCATAATCAGCGATTAAAACTTCTTAAACTATAGAAGTGTGTTTGTTAATTCTAAGTTAAAATGTATTACCTTCCTTCAGTCCATTTCCTTTCATAGGAATATTTTCTACATCATACAATCGTGATGACCGACCACAATTGAACGAATGTAAAGAATTTTGAAATCTGTGTTGCTATTTTCCGAACTGGCAACGCCTGGAATGAAGCGCGCGAAATTCGAATTTACAATTCCAATTTAATTTTCGAAAATGCAAGGTGGACCGAAAATAGGACAACCACCACCACAACCTTAACAGATTTTTGGTACATACGAGAATAAAAATAAAAGTCAAAATTTGAACCCGTTTCTAAAAATTAAAAAAGAATTTAAAAGCGCCTGTTTCATTTAAAATTACGCAAAAAATATTCATATTTTCGAAATATTGAACGTGATCTCTTTTGAAGAACTGTTTTTGATGAACACATTTCATAAAGGAAAAAAAATATCTTCAAAATTGTAATTGTAGGATGACTCAGAAAAAATGTTGATTTTTTGCAATTTTCGGAAAATCAGCATTTTTAACACAGATGCAAAACTTTGCTGGAACCTTTTGCGGCCGTTTAAGAAGGGTTTCACTGTAGGCCTACCTCTATGTTTCTCAGACAAGGGGAGGAACTATTGGAAATAAAAAAAAATAATTACTAAAGGTGCAAAATGTTGGTGAACTTTTCTTTTCTTTCTTCTTCTTTTTTTGTTTTGTTTTCATTTTGGATTTCCTTGGTAGTAAAATAAATGACAATGAAGGCTTGATATTTAATCTGTATCATGAATGAATACAAACTCATGAAAATGTTACCTGTTCATTGTGAAAAAGTGAAGTCCACACAATGAATTTCTTGCAGACAAAATGCCTTTCACTGTCATCACTGCATGAAAAATTCCAAAGTTTTTAACAGTTTCCGGATTTTCTTGTATTGATTGTAGAGTTGTTTCAATATGTTTGGGAATTTCAAGATGACATATATTTGACATGCGTTTGAAGGAGTTATAATCCTTTAAAGAAAATAGTTTAAAAAAATATTAATATGTATACTAAATGCAATGTTGAAAGCTATAAGTCAGTGACAGATCCAAGAGGCAGTCATGCCCCCTCCCCCAAGACAACATTTTTTGTAATTTTACTCAATTTATTCAAAACAATGGCCACATATTGATAGTGGAATATACCCTTTCTGAATACTTATTTCTATTATAAATATACTGTTAAGCTATTTCCAAATGTAAACAAGATAATTCATGACAAAAATATATATCAGGGAGGTCACCACACTCCCTTGAATTACATTCTGGATCTGCCCTTGCTTAGCATAAAATAATGAGTTTCATCCCACCTGAATTGGCATTATACCTGCCAAAATTGGCACATTTATGCCTAAGTCGTGGCAGTCCCTTACAAAACAATTGAATGTTTCAGCTTCAAGTATTATTTGTGTTATAATGAAGTTTGCTCCAGCTTTTACCTATAAATTGTAAATTTTAGTAAATGAACGTAATATAAAGACATATTATCTACAATAATTTGAGTATAAAATAGTTTGATATATTAGTACAGTCATAATCAAGAAATCAAGTAGAACTTTACTGACTGTGTTTTTAATTTTGATAACAACAAGCCTTCATTAAATTGGTAATTATTAGAGCCCAGAAGAATAGGCATTTATTTTACTTAAAATATGAATGCAAAAAGACATTTCTTTTACTAAAATAGGCATGGAAAAAGGCATTTAATTTGGCTAAAGTAGACTAGAATTGAGGTGCAGAAAAAACAAGTAAATAATGAAAAATTACGATTTAACGGGAATTATTCTAAACATCAACAATAATTAAAATTATTCAAATATTTATTTTGGGTTAAACTGAAAATTACTCAATGTGGAACACTAAAGTTCAGTATGATGAATACATGTTTGTTTTACTTAAGGAGCTATCTCTCGAAAATGCTAGACTCTCATTTGAATCCTGGAATGGTGTAAATGAAGATGCTATTATTGTTTTCGTTTATCAAACTTGTGAAATCACCAGCTTTGAAAGACTGTTTTAAATGTTGTGTCCAGAGTTCTGTTCTGAACAGGGACTGAAGATCACACTCAAATGTAGGATGGGATTCCCTGTGAGTGAACAAAGCTTGCTAGCAACAATGAAAAATCCAAAAATCTTGACTAATATCATTTTGATTTCTTCAAGTGATTTTTACCACTACCTGACCCTGAAGCTCAAGTTCTTGCTTGAGTACTTCCACTTCAAGAGAAAGGAAAAATATGACAGAGCTTTTATGCTGTGCAGGTTTGCAGGCTTTCGCCAGCTTGATCAAGATTGGTGCCATGAGAAAAAAAGAAAATAATGATAAAAGAGAATGAAAAAGATCAAAATATGAAAAATAGTAATCAGAAGTTAAAATATGCTAAAATATTCTAATACAACTTCAGAAGTACAGTTAAACAATTCTTATTGTTAAAAGTCTTAAAATTGTAACTGTAATAAAAAGGTAGTTTGCCAAACTTCCAGGCTCTGGTTATGATACAATTAGATTCATACCTTTTCTCTCAAATAAATTAAGTCTGATCTGTAAGATTCTCCTTCCGGGTGACCATTGGGGTAACCAGCAACACAAATTACCATTTCTTCACCTGTATTTTCCCTGATGAATCTCACCAATTGCTCAGCATATAGAAAATAATCTTGTGATATTGTGCCCACATCATCTAAGGTGTCAAAATATTTTAATCTGTTATTCATAATTTAGAACTTTCAATGTTTGGAACTATCAACTTACCTCCTCGAAGAGCAAATATGTTATTGATTTTAAGACTCTGCAATTCTTTCAAAATTTGTAATACATTTTCTCTGTTCAACCTTTTTGCAGCAACATGAAGTAACACTTCTTTATTTCTACTCTGAAGATTGTGGGCAAATTGAATTGCTTTAAAATTAATTCCATCAGAAGTGGAAAAGTTTCTTAAATGCCATGTTACAGCACAAAATTGAAGATGACAACGTGCATAAATGCCATCAATTCTGAAAAAATATTAACATACAATTCATATTAAAATTTAGATATTTTCTCAATAAAGATATTTTTCTCTATATGAAATTAAAAAAATAATGTTAAAACTTTTCAATTTGAATTTGTATCTTGTAAAACATACAATTAACTTATTTCCTGAAACATTTTTAATAGTACTTTTCTATCAGGATTTATTTATCTTTTGAAATTGGCTTTATTCTTTATTGGCTTAAATTATCTTTTTTCCTTTTGGCTACCTCAAATATGAATTAACTATATACCTATTACTTAATTTCCATTACCCTCCTTAATCAAATGTGTTTGTCTGAGCATTTCTTTTAGTTAGATCTCTTCCAGTTCAGCAGTTGAGTTGAGTAAGATGTCATTCAATGCAATTCTGTCTTCTAAGAGAATTCATTCTCAGAGAATTCTCAAAAAAACATGTTGGGCAGAGGGATTAAGAATATAAAATATATTTTGGGGTGTTAAGGCATCTAAAGAAGTGATCAATAGTTCCACTGATTTCTCTTGACAAGACAAATTGATCCTTTGGCCTATTTTGATCCATTGGTCTAGTTTTAGGCATATCCATTCAAGATGTAGAGGTGGGATCTTTCTAGAATATTCTGGAAGTATTCTTGAAAAACTTGTTTTTGACATAGCACCTACAATAGTGAAACAATTTAAATTATTATACAGACTTTCCCACATATCATGAATCGGTACACCCTAATTCATCAGATCAACAATACTTAAGCTGGCCTCGATAGCCGAGGTTGTTAAAGCTGAAGGGCTGTAGCTGCTTTGCCGGTTCATATCCTGCCTCAGGCAAGGATGTTTGTGTGTGTTTGTGTTGCCTTTACAAGTTCTTCCTACAGTCAAAGCAATCATGATGGCCACTTTACGACCAAGTTGTTAAAAAGAGACAAAAAAGATTACAATAATTAAATCTATGCCCCCAACCATGGCCCCCTCCCCCTGGATCCACCAATGGTGTTATGAATAATTACTGGGATATACATTTTCCCCTCAGTACCGATAAAATTGGTCACACTCATGGCACATGAAACTTCACACCTTGCAGGTGGTGAGATAGTTTCAGTTCAGAAAATAATCTGGTATGATTTTTTTAAAAAAAAAATTACAGGATCCATAACAATAATTTAAATATATATCTAAGCTTTCAAAAGGGGGCTGCACTATTATACCAGATATGCAAAGGAAAAGTAGGCAGACGTTTCTTAATTTTTTTCCCTTCAACTTCCCAATATTTCATTCCTCTTTACAAGAAGCTGAGGGGCTTCTCTTGCAACACAAGACATCCAAATTTATGATGAAATTGAATTGGAGTGAAATGAGCAATACGAAGTTCAAGTAGAAGAAGAAAAAACACAAACAGGAAAGGATTCAAAGAAGTGAAACAATTAAAAAAAATGAAATCATGAGATGTAACATTTTTAAAAATTGAGATGAGTGATTTAAAAAGTTGAAAACTGGCAACATTTATTAAAAATAAGTAATTAAAACTTAAATTTGAATAGCTTTGGTAGATCTCGAAGACAGAATATCAAAATTTTTTTTATTTACGTTAGGCTAAAGTTAATTTAAAATATAAATTACTGCATAAACGTCATGAATCTACGTTGGAAACGAAGTCTACGGAACCTGCAGATTTCGCGTTGAAAACCGACAGGATTGATCGGAAATCATGGACTCCACAATAAGCAGAAAAAATGTATCAGTGTAATCTGACGTTTATGCTTGAACGGTTCCTTTGATTCAGTGAGAAAGGATTGATTTATTCGAATCCATGATCTGATTATTTCTGTTCGTATTGTTCGCGCTAGAAATCACATTTGATAGTCTACGCAATTTTTCAACTATTACGGTTTGACACGCTGTGGTCCGCGACTTATAGAATGTGTTGCGTTCGCGAGGGCTACAATGTAACAAATATTTCGCGATCTGGATCCGCTATCGTTCTGGCGCTCGCGCTTTTTAATGTAAATCACTTTCAACAATGTGTCAGAATCAGAAATATCTTACACTGCGCGTTTAAGTACACCACGGTGTAAGAAATATCTTACACAAGAGGTAAACCGTGTTCGATCAAGCTTTTAAAAGAATTTCACGAGAAATAATGAATCATGAAAGGAACCGGAGGAACCGTGTTTTATACTTGGGTTTTTATTCTTTGGCGTGCGAGCCTTCATGATGGAATATCTCACGGGATTTCGCGTTTCTTGTGCCGCTAGATGCCGCATGATCGCCAGCATTGCTCGATACGGTCGCGATCATGCGACATCTGAGCTGCACAACTGGATACAGACCTAGTGCCTCATTATTATGGAACTTTTCCAAATCTATTTTCCACAAAATCGCGATTTTGAACTTCTCTTCCAAGGTGATCAAATTATACGAATTCTTCAAAACTTTTTTATAGAGCTTCATAATAAAATACAAACCTTAATAAAAGACGTTGAGTTTCCGTCTGAGATTCGGGCGGTGAAATTTCTATAGACACTGGAATTCCGCCGCCCTTGAACACCTCCAATAAGTTTGTGACTAGGTTTCGTTCTTTAAAATCCATGGCTTTCTGCTGAACTCGGAACAGCTAATCGGCAGTACTTTGGTTTTCCACTGGCTCAATTAATGTTTAAGATACTTAAGATTCTCAAGTTGGAAATAGTGTACTTTGATCCGCTAGATAAGCAGCCGAGCGTGTTCACAAAGTTTAAAGCGTATGTAGCGGCCCTACCTCAACCAAAAGCCCATATCCGCACGTTTTCTTGAGCCCCGGAATATCTACTTCCACTCCTTTCCAATATTAGTTGAATTAAGAATAAATGATAGCAACGAGCGTTGTAGACAAAATACGGTAACAAGAAATGTTCGCTCCCGTGCATTAGAAACTATTTTTCATCGAAAAGTGAACTACAAATTCTACGTAAAATTCCTTTTGCCAAAATAACCAGACTCTCCACTCCTCTCCCATCTAGCGAAGCGAGGGCTCAAGAAAACGTGCGTGGATAGTACCATTTCATGACCTGGATAGGGATATGCAAACCTCACCCCAGCCTGATTGCTCGAATTTCAATGTTACTTAATTTCAAGAAAACAATACTTACATACTGATCACATTGCGTTCCTAAGAAGTATTTAAATTAAACCCGCATGGTCATTACAAGAAGAAATTTACATTCCAAAAGTGACTTATTTCGTGAAAAAAAAAATAAAAATGGTGTTTGGTCTGTAATTGGCCAATCTGGAAATACATTCTGTATCCGCCTCAACTTTTACTTTCTCGTATGTGTACGTACGGGGTAATATTCATAGTATAGAGAAAATTATGTAATCCTGCGGAAAATCGATTTCGAGATTTCACCGTAAATACTCGTTTTGATTTTTCTGATATCAAAAAAGTGTTGTTTTTTTTCTCAAAACGTCCGCTTATCTGTCCGTCCTCTGTCCGTGAACAAGACTAGCGCCTAAAGTATTTGAAGGATTTTTTTCGGAATAATTTTTTGTCGATATAATCCTACTCAAAGCTTTGCGACTTCAAAAACTTTTTTGGGGGGTAGGAAAGTTACTTTAAATGAAGACTCTGGAAGATTTTAAAAATATTTTCGCGTAAAGGGCTCCGCATTTTACTTTCTTGCACTTACTAACGCAAGAAGAAATTGTAATTGTGCGCCGGAAAACGGCGAATTTTCGATATAGAAATTCTTATTGCCGGGCCATGATGAGAAAAAACTGGATAAGTCCAGTTGCTAAATATAGAAAAAAAATCATCTAACACATAGTGTAGCTACAATCCATGTTTTGTACGTCTTTCATACCGAAAAATCGTTTGAAGGCAAAACGTCTATCTGTCCGACTGTGAACGCTAGTGACTAAACCGTTCAGCCGTTTTTCTCCAAAATTGAAATTTCCTAATCGTTCTAGCTGATTTCACAGGAACTTCACTGGAATTTATTTATTTATTTATTTATTTATTTATTTATTTATTTATTTATTTATTTATTTATTTATTTATTTATTTTATTTAAAAAATGTATTATAGTCAAAAACACAAACTATGTGATATATGGAGGAGTACAACCTGGACATGAATTCTTTCCTTTTAGTAGGATAGGAGGTGCATAATTTTATTATTGTACAAAGATTTTTACCTTGAATAAATCCAGAGCGCGCGCTTTTGTTGATCATTCGATTGTCATAGCCTTCTATTTGTAAGATCAGCATCTGGCAGTTATTCATGCTAGGATGCAATGTCATATGTGTTGCCAACTGTCGTTCCGGTCTCTCAGACAAACGGGGCAAACGGGGCAAAGAATTCATCATGCAATTGCAATAGATGCAATGCGTTACGATAATAATTGTGAATAGTGTGGATTGTGACGATATGCTAACGGCTACAAATGATTAAGAATGCAACGTTTCCCTTATACTGTGAATTGTGTTTCATTCAATAATCTTTACTGAACAGTAAATAATGGTAAAGATAAATATAACCACTATCAGTTCGGGCATACCGTCTAAAGGTACTTCGACTTTGTCCTCGAAAATTTTGAATTCTTGTACCTTCACATGAACACACGATGGAAGTAACACGATTAAGTAAGTGGAAGTGATTTGTTATTGCGCCTCAAATCCTCCCGACAATGTAAACGTCATTCCGCCCAAATGTTTGTTCAAATTTCAGCGTCAATCATTACCAAGGAAGGCAAATATCGATCAAATTAATTTGTTTCAGATTTTGGTGAAATTATTCCAGAATTAGAAAATGACATAACATCATCACATTTCCTGGCTATTGATGGAGAGTTCACTGGCCTGCACACAGGTCAAGATTTCAATGCATTTGATACACCACAGCAGTATTATGCGAAGCTCCGGTCAGGTGGAATGGATTTTTTGTTAGTTCAGTTGGGATTATGTACTTTCAGATACAACAAAGATACAGGACAGTATGTAATTATATAAATGTTTCAGCTTAAATGTTTATATATTCATATTATCTGTTCAATTCATGGATTGTTTCTATGTTTTAGATTCACACATAAAGCATACAATTTTTATGTGTTTCCTCGACCTTTCTCAAGATCTGCTCCTGATCCAAGGTTTTTGTGTCAAAGTTCAAGTTTGGATTTTCTTGTCTCGCAAGGATTTGATTTCAACAAACTTTTCAAAGAGGGTTAGATAAATGAAAATTTTAATTGCATTCATCCATGTTTGCAAATGAGGCAGCTTATGTTTGTTCTTTTAGGTATTCCATACTTAACTGAAGCTGAAGAAAAAAAATTGCGAGAGCAATTAGAAGAAAAACAAAAAGCTCGTGCTAACAGTTCATCATCCAAAAATGAAGACTCCTCTGCTTCGATTCCAATTCCTGAAGAACACACTGAATTAATTGAAGATGTTTGGTGAGAATGTGTTTTAAATGCAACCATTATCTTTTTAATCATTCAAGAGTACTTCAATTATAAATTGCTACTTCACAAGAAGAGTGACACCTCTCAAAAATTGTAATTTGTAGTAGAATTGTCTTTTTGAGAGCAGAGCCTTTTATTTCAAGAGCAAAGACATGAGTATTTTACTCTGATATATTAGCTATGCTGTTAATGAAATTTATATAATTTTTTCTAGTACATACAAACTTTTCACAATGTTTCTAGTCACTTTTAAACAATGAAATTGTTAGTGACAGTCTTGTGCACAAACGGTGGCAGTGTCCATTTAAAAAAGGGGTGAAAGCAGGGTTTTTTCCAAAATATGCTACATTTTTTCAGCTTTGTTAAAATTCTCATACTAAAATACTAAATTTGTTATGCGAAACTCAATAGGCAATTAATATACTACTTTCTAAATTGATCCTTTGCCTAGAAATTACCGATTTTATGTGCATTTAATTATTTCCAAATCTCAATCTAGATCCACTAATGGCCACTTAAAAATAGCAAAATTTTGGTAATGGTTAGAAACTTGACTTGGTGAAGTAATGTGATATTTGATCCCCGAATCATTTGAGACACTTCTAAGTGTAATAAACTAATAGTTCATGTTGCAATGCCAATATTAATAAGTTTTTTTTTTTTCAAGAGAAATATCACCTTTGTTCTACACCTCGTTACTAGAAGTCGTAAACTTCACATTCTTCAAGTTTGAAGACTCAAAATCATAATTTCTTAAATTGCAGTGGCCATTACTGGTGTCTATATCTTATTTGTGTTATTGTAAAGTGCAAAAAATGTATATCTTGTATTGTTATATTTTTATTTCAGTGTTCGAATTAATGACTTCTTATCAAACGATGAGCAAGATGAATTAATTTTAGATGGTTACAATGGCTTTGTTCGCAAACTTATTTATCAGACTGTAGGAGAAAGATTTGATAGTCGCAGTATGCATGTAGAAACACGTGCCATTGACAACCATAATCGTGCGCTAGTGGTAACTCGAGCTTTAAGTGATGAAGATCGAAAAAAGAAAGAAGAAGAACGGCAAGAACAAGAAAAGAAGGAATTGGATACTGCTGTTGGAGTTAGTTCTGTAATTCGTATGATCTCTCAATCTGTGAGTATTAATTATTTAAAGTCGTAGGCTTCTGCGGCCAGAGTCATGTGGGTGATCTGGGATGTCCGGGTGACGCCGCGTCGAAGGCTGAGAAGAGAGCAACTCAGCCTTCGATGCGGCGTCACCTGGACAGCCCAGATCACCCATATTAATTATTTAGTTGTATTTATTTACGTTTGTAATTCTATTTATGGGCACTTACACATTTATTTCAGGGAAAACTTATTATTGGTCATAACATGCTTCTTGATATTTGCCACATTCTACATCAGTTTTGCACTCCTCTCCCAGAGTCGTATTCAGAGTTTAAAGAACTAGTAACATTCATGTTTCCCAGGTGAGTTAAGAAATTATGTATTATTTATAATCATTTTACATTTTGATGAATAGATCATTTATATCTATTGTTTTCAGAATTTTGGATACTAAGTACATGTCATGCATGGACCCTTTTAAAGATCAGATCAGTTCAACAGTACTGGGACATCTACATAAAACACTCTCTGGAGAGCCATTTGAGCTGGTCAATGTTGGTAAGTCTATCTAACCTATTCTGTTTGTTAACACGTTGGTGATATTTCTGTTGCAAATATAGTAAATAAATAAATACAGTAAAACATAGCTTAGTGAGTGATTTAGTTTTTGACACTCATTGATGGCAGCCTAAAAGGGTGTCATGGTCAGTGAATAAACATACAGAAACCAAACATATTTATTTTCAACAGTGCCTAGGGCAGTTTACCTGCAGGAGTCCCTTATTTGAAACAAAAGTTTCCGTAACTGATTTTGTGTGTTCATGTAACTGAAATAACTGATAACCATTAAATTTTAAAAATAAAGAAATACATCATTGGAATAAAAATAATTCCATCCTGGGGCAACTTACCCCAGCTGCCCCTTCTTCAGAGGGTCCTTGTATATTTTATAACCATTGGCTAACCTATACTTGAGAAATTTTACTCCCTCAAAAGAAATTTGCTTCAAAATAGGCAAAATAAAACTTCGTCAAAATGTTACATTTTTTATCTATCGTGTACGAAAAGCAGAGTTAGGGAAAAAAGTTTTAAAAAACGACCCAGTGAGTAGTTTGAGTTACATGAATTGAGTGGTGGTAACAAAATTTTGTTCTGCCAGCTGATGAATGTTTGCATGGTATCAGCTGGTATGATTTAAATAAATGATTATTTCAAAAAAGTCAATGATTTAAATTAGTATTTATTAATTGTAATATTCGAAAATATGTTTGTATTTTAAGTATTTGTGAAATAAAAATTACTCAAATGAAAATACTTGAATCAATTACAAAATAGATATAATGAATATATTATATTTCTTATAAGCTTCAATGGTGTCCGTAATTCTAGATTTGATTTAAAACTTTTGCTAAAACCCCTCTTAAAGTACATCTAAAAGATGATGAGTATTAATAAAATGGAACTTTATTAATAAGCATTTAAAGAACAAAATTAATATTGTTAAAGGTAATTAAAATAGTCGTTAATCTTACTAGTATTAATAATATTAACAGTTTTCTTTATGTGCATATTGATGACATTCATATTTAAGTGGGAAGTATACTTCCACTGCCTGTTCGATGGTTAATGGGAATGTGCACTAGTGACAACCATTAAACCCCATCTTTTTTATGAGAGGACAGCTATTAAGTAGAATTTAATATTTAAACAATTGTCTAACATTGTACGTTTTTTGATAAATTCAGTTGATAAAAAAAATAGGTGCTTTTTGATTAAGGTGGTATAGCACAAAAAATGGTAAAATTTCTTGGAATGAACAATGCTTTTTTCCTAAATCCTGCTAATAGATTGCGCCACAAGCTTGTTTGGTAACATGGATGCTAGAGAAATGCTTCAAGAGCACGAAACTCAAGATTTTGTGGGTTAGGGCAGTATTGCACCGGTCACCTCGAATATTAATATAAAGTATTAATATTAAATTATAATATTAATTTATCAAGTATTTTAGTTTAAAAAATAAAATTAGATTAATTTAGTGATAAATTTATAAACTGATGTTTCAATAACCTTTTTCTGCTTTTAAAATAATAAGGATAAATAAATCACTTAACAATTTTAGTTTAAAAAAAAAAATTTAATACACCTTAAAAATTCTTATATAAATCAAATAAATGTGATACAAATTTAAAAAAAGTGATTGAAATTTTAAAAAAATGATTTTTTGATATTTTTAAAAGAAAATCATAATTTTTTCCAGCCTTAATATCAGTGTATATAAGTACATAAAACCAAAAAAACCACAAACTTCCTTATAAAGAAATATTATTTAGGTATGTTCAGAATTCTGTCATTAATGTTTAGTGCATTATTAGTTTAATTAAAAGTGCAATAAAAATTAACAATGCAGATTCTTTGAAATTCAGCATTTATGACCTGCCAACATTCATTTGATGATTTTATTCACTCGCATACAAATTCTCATCTACTTTCTGATGTGATTTGTATTGATTTGTTTAATATTTTTTTAGTGTCAATATTTGAAAGATATAAATCATTTCGGACATACAGCTACCTAATTAAGGTTTCCACTGAGGAGCTTAATTTTTCTTTATTTAATCCTTTCCAAATACATACTATGCCATGATTAATATTGTTATAAAGTCTGTGAAAAATAATTTGAGGGTGATGATTTATATCATTGATATAATCATCATCATCATCATCATCATCAATTGTATTGGGTTTTCATAATTCTTAAGGAAAGAAAACTAAATATCAAAGTTGATATATCATTGATATAAATCATTGATTGTGATTAAAAGCAATTAATTTTTTTTTTAAATCATTGGTTTTTAAATAACAATACTCGATTTTTCATGTCATCAAAATTTTCCTAAATTTGGCTTCTTTTTTTACATCTTACTAATATTTTAAGTAACAAAATTCACAATTTAGTAACTAACAAACAGTTCAGAAGCTAGTATACAATACTAAAATGGGAAATTTAAAAAACAATATTGCATTGGGTTATCTTAATTTTTAATGAGACAAAAATAAATATAAAAGTTTTATTTTCAGTTAGCTGTATGACACGTCATTTATGTTATGTAATATTTTAACCATAAACGTACGCAATATTCTTCATTAGTATAGAATTGTAAATATTTTCACAAATGAGAGATAGTGAATAAAATTAAAGTTAATTATTATTTTAATGGGGTTAATATTATAACAATTTATTTTAAATATATAAAACAATTAGGGGAGAGTGTCTGTGGAGCATCCATATGATCTCATAAGTATTTAACATATTGACCAAGTCTGTGTTAATAACAAGTTAAAATATAAAATTATCTAGAACCTTGCTAATTCAAACCCACTAAATCCGAAATTTTAGATAATCCAAACAAAATTCAGGATGGAGGAAAAATAAACAAAATAAATGAAATGCTTATTTGTAGTGTAAAGGTAGAACTATAATTACTGTAGATCTGAACAACTAATTATTGAAACATAAGTTGTCAAAATGAAACATTTATTGCACTGGTAACTATGGTGTATAACACATGTTTATGTAGAAATAATTTTCTCTTACAAGGAATTTGCAAAATTGGTAATCTTCTTTTGCCGTAAGGAACTGAATCTGCTTGATTTAAAAATCTTGTGTTGTTTCTTGCTGCTTGATGATGGGATAGCTAGGCTGTGTTTCTATTTTCGTAGATCACACACTATGTTGCATTGTCTGGTAATCCTATTGGTGTATTTGTATATGTTCAGTACATTTTTTCAAATAATCCGAACACTTCCGAAACTTAAGTGACCACCCTAATTCGTTTTGGATTACTGGGATTCTACTTGTTTTGTAATATTAATCTTCTATAAAAATTCTAAATAATTGCATATGACAGTGAATTAAACATTTAAAAATATTCTATTAAAATTAATTAAAACAAAGAAATATACATTTATAATTTAAATTTAAATAGAAAATATGATGTACTTTTGAATATGATAAACGTTAGAAATTTAGAGTTTTAACTCTGTTTCAGCTCCAGCTGTAGAAGGTCGTGGATATGCTAGTGCGGAAGAGAAAGCACACGAAGCTGGTTATGATGCTTATTTGACTGGAGTTTGCTTTCTCACTCTTGCTAATTATTTGGGTATGTTATATCTCATTGACTTGATAAAAACACTGAGTTATTATCAATATTAGGTTGAAAATATAACTTTAATATGTCAGTTCAATCTTATAATAATTTTATAGTTAATTTTTGTGAGTTTTGGTTGAATAACTTTGGACTTCAGGCTCTTGCATTTTTTGCTTGGGAGTGGGAGCTCAAGCCACTTTGTGAAAGTGGAAGTACTATGCATGCATGTTTTGTTGATCCTCCAGCTCCCTAGTTCTCACTTGGCCAGGCACAGCACAGCCCGGTAGAAAATATAAGTTTCGCTTGGAACGTCACAGCTTGGTTTGCAGTGATGCCTACCTTTGTTTACAATATGGACTTCCTAGTTTTCGCTTTCTCTTTTTATCAATCTGTCTATACCTTGTTCCTTCTTGCTACTCAGTTATTTCTATAACTATTAATTATTTCTTCAGAATTTTTAAAAATCTTGTGTTGTTTCTTGTTGCTATTTAGTCAAAGATGCGCAATTACGCTGAGTTTTCTGTTGATGGCATTGCCAGCATGGCGCTGCTGTGGCGTAGATAAAACCCACCTCTCCCTGCACCCCCTGCTGTGGAGTATCAAGAAAAAGTGTGTGTATAGTAGGTGTGAGGGTGTGGGGAGTTCATTACTTTTCATGCGTAATTCAACATATTGTACAGTGAAATCTCAGTATAAAGTAAATCATAAAATTATTTTATTTATATTTTCTACTGAAATTACAGTTTTAACTAACTTAAAAAGTTTGCGCAATAAACAATAATAATGAAAAAATAAATATCACTCATTAAAGTATTCTGTGATGTAAGTTTTGGTTTTGTCTTTTTGAGAAAATTGATTTCCACAAACTGTTCTACCTCGTATAATGATTTGAGAACTGTCTCTGGAACGTTTATATTTTTCTGAACAAAAATTTTTTTTCTCAAGACACATCTCTGCTCAGTTGAATACACCGTTTCAATCTTTCCTTTTTCTTATTCTACTTCTTTTTCCTCCTCTGCATTATTTTATTGTGATGTAGTCAATGATTCAACAATGTCACTCTGTGAGGCAGTGTCTTGTTTGTCCCAGCAACAATATTGATACAATCATTAAATGTTACAGATATGGAAGTTCTAACTCCTTTGCAATTTGTTCTCACACCTCGCAATGATCTTCACAAGCCTCAAACTCAGGCAAGCTTCCTTGTTGGCTGTATATTTCATTGGCAGGGATGTCTCGCCTTTGAAACATCCAGGTTTTACGTAATGTCCTTCGACCATAAGATTCAATTTTTCTGTATGGCATAGGCATTTTGTTGTAGTGGCATTACAACAAAATAATGCTGTTAATCTTTCTTTCGGCTGTTTTCGACCTACTCTTTTCTCTCTCTTGTAAGACATTGTTTTATTCGGCAACATATAAAAAAAGATGTGTCATCTGCATTGAAATTATCTGTAGGATCATACTTTTCAATTGTATTTCTCAGATGATGTTCCTTCCACTCTTGAAAAGCATTCATGAAAGAATCTTTAGCTTCCCCAACAACAGTCTTCCAAGTTCTGCCATGTCGCACCATGTTCTGCCATGAAAACGAATCAGCCAACCAACACTTCCCTGAAATTCCTTAACATCCATTAGGGTTGCAAATTGTTGTGCTTTTTCGTGTATTATTGGTCTAGAATCAGGAACCCCACAAGACCTAACTTCCTTAAACCATGTGTCTGTTGCCTCTTCCACTCTGTGAAAATAACGTAAATGAATCTTCTTTTCATAGGAGCACCTTGTCAATTATTCACATTTTTTTAGAACTTTTTCTTTGCCTTTTAAAGTTTTTGAAACAGAAGTTGAGTTGGTGCTCGTAAGCACATACTACATTAACCTACACTATCCTGTCGTATGGCTCAATAGCCTGATACAGGCCTTAGCCGACCAATGGTGGCCCAGCCTCTCGACCATTGGTTAAGGGGTTTGTAAAGTTAGCACGAAGACATCCATCCACCGTATTGTAACCCACCCGTGGTATCTGGAGCAGGGATGAGGTTTTCAATAACAGTCATCAGTTTTAACAAAATAAACATTTAATATCTAGTATGATGATGAGTGAAGGGTGATTTTACATGACATTTTACAATATAATACGTGCGACTTTATTAAAAAGAATTATCTTGATTGGTTGACTCAATGTAAAAACTAATTCAATTAATAGGCCGCCATGAATATTGATGCTGATGGCATCTTCTCTCCAGCGTCGCTCAGGAACTGTTCTTCCGCATTCTAGCGGGAGCAAAGCGAATGATCACCCTTTGTTGTTGTTGTTGTTGTTGTTGTTGTTGTTGTTGTTGTTGTTGGCGGCGGCGTGTCAGTATAGCATGCCCAACTGGTGGGGTTGTTGACCGGCGTCAAGGGCGGTTCGCCCCCGGACAGCTGCAGGTTTTCATAGCCGCACTTCAGCGTGGCCGTGCTCGTCTTCCTCCTTAGGCCGGACACTGACCCCCAGACACCCACGGCTCGCGTGGGCGATGACAGATCAGAAATCATCCGTCTCCCAGATGAGGTAATCTAGGACGATCGACTATCGTAGCCGGGATAGGTCGGCCTATGGCACTTGACAGCGTGCTACTGTGCACTGATAACTGGCTAATACGGTTCACGGCCAGCGAGAATACTTCCCGTCTGCGGGAACTATGACTCCTTCCTCGAGAATCCTGTGATTTGGAGCCAAAACGTCCTGCGCGAGATTTCTAAGATGAATTATTGAGGGCTGACTTCCCTCTGCAAGATTTCTAAAACAAGTTTCTGAGAGCTCGACTTCCCTCTGCTAGATTTCTGAAGCAAGTCCCTATGAGAGCTGCTCTCCCAAATCATGAAGGCTCGGTACCCCCCTCTTCTCCAGTGAGAATCCTCCCGATTGTGCGAGATTGAATTTCGCGGACCATGGTGGGGCGGTGCTTCGACCAATGACGCGGGATCCTTCCTAACAGCCAAAAATTTGTCGTTTGCCGCCGCGGGCAAGCTTTCTCTCGCGGCCGGCGAAAAAAGTCGGTGACTCCAGTTGCGAAGCCGCACGCGCGCGCCGAAATTCGTTCTGTCGTATATCTGTCTCCCCAAGTGGGTGTAATTGACGTCGGGTCCCTTTGACATGCGGTCGTGTATGTGGGGAGCTGACCCTCTCGAGAGCTCGGCGGGACGCGGTTGCCGACAAAGGTTCCCTCCTTTCAAACAACGCGGGGGCGTCCTGTGTCATAAATGACCCTCCCCTCAATAGAGCAGGGAAGGGACGCGGGTCAGGTACCTACGAATTTCAACAGCCGCTGTGAAATCGCGGGGTCCCTGATTTTATTGATAGACATAGTACGTCGAATTTGCGGCAGCTCGTACCGTTACAATATATACGGGTCTTCATAACCTTAAAGAGAGGTTTCTCATTGTCACACAGAAATAGATAATGGGATATTTGAAAAGAAAACACACACATAGTTTTGGCCCGACCGATAATTGAACCTGGGGTTGTACTGTGGAAAGTGAACATGCCTGCCAACAAGCCACCAAGGGTGCTTCATTCCACTATCCATTATTTTTATTACCTCCATTTTCTTACTTTCCATTGCAATCAAATTGTATATTTTTATGAATGCCACTACTAACCTCCAGAATATGCACTTAAAATACTGTAACCAGCAAAGTACATGGTTTTGCAACCAGAGGGTTTGTTAAAGTAAAATATCTTTACATTGTAACATATGACATTTAAACAGGGATTTCCAATATGTAGGTAAAACTGAAATGTACCTAATACTCAAGTCCATTTTACTGAGATTTCACTGTATTCAAAATTATTGATATAATCTGACTTGCTTTGCTTATTTAATGGCTGTCTGCAAGTTACAACAGAGCACTGATGTTTGAACTCTGTAATTACTGTTCTATTATCACAATGATTCTTCTGGTGCTCATGGTTTCATACATATTACTGCCTTTCCTTTTCACTCCTAACATTAACATGCTAAGTGGGTTCAACCTATGGGGAGTGGTGTAATCCTTCTTTAACCTAGTCAGCCATCAGCTGTAATCGTTCCTATTTGCCCCTTTGGCCAGGGGTTAGGTGCTGTTAGATCCCCGGAGTTCCAGGGTCTGTCAACACTTTTCTTACTTTAAGAGCAATATGAACTAATTGGATTATTTCCTCTGATTTTATAAATGTGTCTTTTTGTTACATTTCTTTACATTAAATGTTAATGATGTGTGTTTCCCTGCTGCATACTTATTTGAGGAATGACAATAAATCTACACCCTGTTGTAAGCCAGTCCACCAATCTCATTTCTTGAATTTTGGAAATCATGAGTAGAATTTTATTCTAGTTGCAAAGTATTCTTTTAAACACAATTAAAAGAAGAAAGGAGGTGGAGGGGAAGAAAAACAGCAAGACAGGAGAAGAAGAAAGAATAGTGATGGAGAAAGAGAAGAGGAGACTGTCTGTCTCCGTCATGTCTGTTAGTCTCCGTCTTGTCTGTCTGTCTCCATCTTATCTGTCTGTCTCCGTCATGTCTGTCTGTCTCCGTCGTGTCTGTCTGTCTCCGTCGTGTCTGTCTGTCCGCTTATCTGTCTAAGCTGTCCTCTCCATTTGAACATTTCAACATTGAGAACTTCCTCTGTCGTTATTTCCTCTGGGTTTGTAACATTTGTGGTTTGCATGTAAGATAAAAACAAAGTTGTAGAGAAAGTATTGTCTTCAACTTTGCATAAAGAGTATTTTGAACTGGTAGAAATTCGAACACTAGCACCTCTGTTGCTTGTGTCAAAAACATTGTTCTTGTGAATATTAGCCATTTTTACACTTGTTACAGAATACACTATTGTTTACAGAATGCACTATTATTTACATGTGGGTATTAGTGTAGGCTCCTTACACATTGGAGCCTAACTTTCCTGATTTTTAATAAAATATAATTTTACTCTTTTGTAACAAATTAGTATAACTAGAAATTCTGAACTACAATTTTTAATGACCAATTTACTTGAATAGTATTTTTTTAAGTTTTTTTATGTTTCTTGCCTAAAGTTTATTGAAAATATCAACAAGTAAGTGTAATTACAAAAGTTAAATGCTGTTTTTTTGTCTTCATTGCTTGTAGTGTTTTGCAGTTGAAGAAAGAGAATAAACTCTTTCCTCTCTGTTATACTTTCAATGAAACATTAAAAAGAAATTAAATTTGTGTTTGTAGGATCTTTAGAAGAGCCAGCTAAAAAGCCAGTCCTTCCAAACTCTCCGCTTCTCAGGCCATACATTAACAGGTAAGCAGAATTTTAAAACAAAGAATATAAAGAGTAGGTAGTCTTCAAAGAATTAAATGTTAAGTCTCTTTCATATCTGCCATCTCATTCAAAGAAATGCAATTGAAATGGAGCAAGCCTGGCCTTCTGATTGCCTCGTGTGTGAAGCTGTGGCAATTGTCATGGTATGCGAACAATGTTGCCAATTTTCATTTCAACTCTTACAGTTTTCCTGATTTTTTTTTTTTTTTGTGGGTAAATTAAGAAAATCGCTCTGAAGGGGCTGGTGTTATTAAAAAGAATGATAAGTGAGCTTGTGTATGAATTATATTTTTAATATATGTTTTTTGATATCAGAATTAAAATATTCTTAATCTCTTATCACTATTTATCATCTTGACCAATTTTTTGTAATGTATTCATTTTGACCAAGCATTTGTAATTTAATTTTTATGCACAATGGCAAAGTGCATTGTATTGCCTGTACCAGAATCCAAAATCTTCTATTGTATCATCTTAAATCAGTCTGATACAAGATTAGGGATGATTCCCTGTCCAGCATTAGTGCATGTTTGGGTTTTCAATTTAAAAAAAAAATTGAAAATTTATGGGAGTACTGTTGAACTTTAATATATCCTAGGTTTTGACAATTCTGTTCCTGTCTTGGGATCTCTGAAAAACTTGAATCTCCAAGTCACTTCTCAAAACATCCATTGTAACTAGTTACATGAAATTACAAAAATCTTTTTAAAATTGGAACCAACACCCCTATGGTGTTTATGTTTAATTAAAGGTTGATGGTTTTGGTTTTACTCTCTAATTTTACTAGTTTAAATTGTTTTGGTTAGTTTGGTGCCTTATAGATGATCCTTGAAGTGATGACAATTTGAATTAAATTGTTTCAGGTTGCATTTAATGCGTGTTCAAGATGTGACATTTATTGACCTTACAGGAGAAGATGGTGAGTAAATAATTTTCACATTAAATTTTAGAGTGGTGGATCATGAAGAAAGGAAAAATAGAAATTTTTGAAAATAAAAGTTGTATGGTTGTAGTAGCAGTGCATATATCATTTTAGTATTGAGATTTTATTTTCTAATTTGTATAAAACTATCATTTATACAAATACCGTATTTACCCGATTAAGATGAGGCTTCTTTCCTAAATATGTCATTCGAAAAATATAGGTTTAGTCTAATATTCGCAGATTAATCTAGTTGGTTAGGATTCATGTCTTTCTGTGTCACAAAATTCATAAATGTTTGTGAAATAATAAACTGAAAAGATGATGAAAATATCGTACATATATGTAGTATTTAATTATTTTTGCTGACATATTCTTGGCACACTCCAGGAATTTGACAGACGATTCAAACCCATAATTTTTGAATGGGTCAATAAAGAGAGAATCTGAAACAAATCTCTAGCATTGTATCAAGTGAAACACATAAATGTGAGTGAAAATGAAGATAAATCATTGCCAACATATTGATGCACAACACACTGATCGATGAGGCTGGAAATATGGACTCTCAGTTCGTTGTCCACCTGGGGTGAATTTGTATTTTGCAAGAGATGGATTTAATATGTGAGTTATCTGTGAAATGGAGGAACAGAGATTGTGGTTCACAACTCGATCACACGAACATTAAATTATGCAAAATTTAAGTAAGTCAAGAAATGTGGAAAACTGGTAAAGAATTAGAGCCCATGAACAAGAGCGGGATGGAGGAAAATCTGATGACACAGAAGGGATCATTGTTAGGTGACATCAGAAGAAAGACTAAGATCGTAAATTCAATGCACAAAACTTTCAGAGGATGTTGCAGTATGATTGGAGGAAAAGAAAGCAACAATAATACATGTGAAGATGAAGAGAGTAAAGACAAAAACAATGAATATGATGATTTTAAGAAACAAGAAAATGGTGATAGCTAAGGCAGTAAGTTTTAACATTCTCATCAAGAAGACAAACTATTATACCATTTGTAGCCACCGGCCAAAATAAAGCATAATACAAAAATGATGGTTAACTCTACATATAATTTGCTTGTATGTAGAACTTAGTAATTTTCTTTTATACTGGAACATAGTTATAGGTGATGTTTTTGTTTCATTGATTATACCCAAGTACAAGTGCCCTTTTCTTATTGTGTGTATTGTACATTTCTTTTAAGAAGTATATTTTATATCTTTGAAATATTTGTTGTGAAAATATGTTGACTCTAAAATTTTTGAATGGATTTAACAGTTGAGAATTTTTTTGTATTCATTTTAATTTTCTTTATTTGCAGCTGAGCCTCCACGAGATCATGTGTTTCATGTTACATTCCCAAAAGAATGGAAGACATATGATTTGACTCAATTGTTTAGCCCATTTGGTAAGTTTTTTGGTGAAGTCTCTAATGTAGAGGATTGTTCAGTTTATGAATAGCTAATAATATATCATAGCTTAGCATAGCGGAGAGCATCTGTCATTCACAAGATCGCTGCGTGCACGAAAATGTACAAGAAAAGTGTGTGTGGAAACAAAAATTACAATAGCATTGTTATTGTCAGTTGGTGAAAAATCACATGCATTTGCATGATGCAATTACTGTAATATAATTGGATTATTGTGAAACTCAAAACCTATTGTGTATGACAAATTTTTTTAATTTAATCAAAACTGCCCAAACTAACTTCTGAGAACATCCATGCTACAAATATGTCTGCTGACAAGTAGTGAGTTGGAAAACCCAACTTATTAATTTGTTCATATTATAAATAAATGATAAGAAAATAAGTTTTACTATTTTAATTGTATTTCGTGTTGACCCAGTATCTGATGCCTAAATCAAAGTGGTTGATTTTGTCTCAAAAATTTTTGAGCAACTTCAATTTCTTAAGTCGTAGGCTTCTGCAACCGGAGTCATGTGAATGATCTTGGCTGTCCGGGTGATGCTGCGTCAAAGACTGTGTTGCTGATGTTTCGACCATCTTATCATGTTCTTCCTTTGGTTTAAATTGTGCTGACACTAACTCAACCTGCAGTACACAGCGTGCTTAATGCTAGGTTTCTTGTCATATCTATTTTATTTACATCAAAAACAGTTATAAACTGTGTGACGTGCTACGGGGAGAAGTTAATTTCAAGTTACATGTATGTCCAGAAGCAAAACAAGGGGCCATCTCAGCATTTGCTCGAGGATCAGGGAAACTGGACGGAAACCTGATCGAGATGGGATATCAATGATGAGTAACACAAAAATGTGCTTAGTAGGACCTTAAAATCTGTGTTTTGGGGCCTGATGCCTCCTGTTGATTCCTTACTCTGTAATCTACAAATAAGACCATTTGGAACTTTCTATTACATTTTCGAAGGTTGGTCTTTTCTGAGTTCTCTAATCTATGGTAAAGGTGGTCATAATCTCAAAATATATATGAAATAAACTTGAATGTATCACATGTTTTTATTGTTTATATAATTTGTACTTTTCCTCTGTGTATTATAGCGAAGACTGGAAGAGTATTGGAATCACCTCGACAATACAATTCTCATAGCAGTGCTTGTATTTAATGACATTTTTACATGTTAATGTATTACACTAAGAGATAAAATACTACAAATATTTCCAAAAAGTGTTTTGAGTGTTCAGTCGTTGAGTGAATATTCCTGAATTTTTTATCCACAGCCAACGACACAGTAATAACTTAAATCTAAACATCACTTGTGATCACTTGCCTCATATTTTGATCAAAGAGCAGACTGTAAACAATAACAATGATTTCCAGCTTCCTAAGAAAATTTGAACCTGTAAAAATGTAATGAAAAGCGTAATTGAGCAGAAAATGGAAAATCAAGCATTCTCTTTCAGTTTGGCCTGCCCGTAAACACGTTGTCTTATTTTAGTACCTTTTGATGTATTTAACTATTAACATTTGGAGTGTTGTACGAGGTATTCAAAACACGTGGCCATCTGTATCCCTGCTGAAAGGACAAGAAGCACAGAAAATGCTCAAAATCATTATGCTCTTGACGTACTTTAAAAACTGGTGATATTTATTTTATTTATTTTCCACAATAATAAGTACTTAGATTACCGATACACTACATGTATTTAAGATGCGTAAAAATTAATATTTTAGCCCAAACTTTCAGAAAATGATTGTAATATACTACGATAAATATATGTATTGTTCTTAATTATGTAAAATGTTTCCTCAATTAAATTGAAATTTATTGTGGAATTCCTCCTCCTCCTCCACCCGTCAGTTGGAGTTCTCTAAGTAATGGCATTGGTATGTGATTATTAATTGTGTTGTGTAGATGCCATATTTAAAATCGTCATTAAAAAATTTTGAGTATTTAAAATACAAATTGCTTTCATCTCTGCATTTCATTGTGTTCATGATCATTAAATCTTTTGATCTCTTAATTTATGGAAATTCTAGTAGTTTTTGTATAAAACATCAAAAAGTGACTAATTTCCATAAATGCAGGGGTGCGATATATTCAAATTTTCTCTTAAGAATTTTTAATTCAGAAAAACAAATCTGATTCTCAATTGATATTTTGATGATTGTTCATATTATAATATTAAAGATTTGTAAAATTAAGAAAATGTGAAAAAAGTGTAATGATTACGGACATGCACAGTATCTCTACTACAATAACAAAGCTATTTTCTGAATTAAATGTACTCTAAATAATGCTACTAGATTTTTGGATTTTGATAATAATATTATTAGAGTGGAAACTAATGTATGCAAAGATGAAGAAGCTTGTCATTGATGCCATGTTAATGATTTCTGATGAATAACATTCAGATATTGTTTCAATATTGATTAACCTACATTTTTGGACATATCTCCTGGAGCTGTTTTCCCATTGGAGACGGTCTTAGATGATGTTTTGAAGTAGACCTAATGTGCTAGGTTTAAGCAGTTTGATGAAAAGTGTGTTACAAGATGGTTGAAACAGTAATAGTACGTAATTTTATATATCGTATTAAAATTTTACATAACTTCTAAAAATATGATGAAAAAGCCTGTGCTGTGTTTTCTTAGTGAAAGTAATAATTTGTTATGAACCATATCTTAATTTTTTAATTGATTAATGTCAAATAAATGTTTAAAATCTGTGTGTGAAATTTTGAGGGGAAAGAAGCTCTTTGTGTCCAGAAGCAAAGCATGGACACATCTCAGCCCTTGTTCAGTGGATCAAGAATAATAGAATATAAAACCTGAAACCTGAAAATAAAACTATTGAAAGGATTATTTTATCTGTATTTCTAATACAGAATGCATACAGAAATTGAAAGAAAACTATGCCACCTTTGATCATGTGAGAAATATCTGTGGGTTTGTTAGATTCCTGGAATCTCTGGGACAAATACCAATAACCATATATACTACTTTCCAATGCAAGCAAAAATTGAAAGAACTCTGTAGCCATCCTGCCATGTGAGTTGTGTGTATGGTTTTGTTAGATACCCAGGGTCTTGGGAGAAATCCAGAAACAATAAAACAATTTTAATTTTGACTGAAAAATGCAAATATATGATTGTGTTATTTCACGTGTTCTTACACTACATGAACTGACTGAATTCTATTACTCAGTCATCACCGCTTGCAATACAGCTGACATTTTGTGACAGCAAGGCTCCAAGGAAGAGGCAGCTTACTGTTAAGTAATTGCTTTTTGTGTGTTTTGTTGTCGAACATCAACCTTTTTTATATTATTGGTATGTTAAGAACTGTTGTACCTGCATACTAAGTTATTCTAGTATTTGTGAAGACTGTTTTTGTTAAAATAATTTATTGCAGTGTTAAACAAAAGAATTTTGTTAGTGGTTCTTGTGTGCTACTTTTTGGGAAACCATTTTATATGGTTTTGTTCAGCAGCAGTTTTGCTGCTGCAGGCCACTAGAATAGTCATGAATGAGTTAAATTCTGTTTGATGCAAAATTGATAAACCTCATTGAAAGTGAAATTGTAATTAAAATTTTTCATGTATTGTGAAGATTTGTTCAAAATGGAAACACTGAATTAATAATGAAATGAGCATGAATTACATGGCTCTAACTTTTATGATATGAGTTTAAAGATTGGAAGTTGTTATTGAAGTATACTGCGGACTCACTCTTAACTGGCCACTTTGAGCCTGGGACTTAGACCAGATAGTGATTTGGTCAAGTAGTGTTAAAATGTAGTTCCAGTAATTGCATTTAAATACACTCCCAAAATCTTTTTATTAGAAAACTAAATGTGTACCCTTTTTTGTAATATGATAAGTATAATTAAGAACTTCCTCTGTTGGGAAACAAACTATTCAAATTGTAGACTACTGTATTTAAAATTCATATCTGCAGTACAGATGTGTGTAGTGTCACTGGTCATTAAATTTCACATTCAGAACAGTGGAGTACTGTAAATTTAAAAAATAAATTTTTGAGCTTTGTAATTATCGGATTTCTTCTATTTTTTGAGGCTAGAGCCATGTCACAACAGGTCTGCTAGTTATCAATGTCTCAGACTTGTAGCAGCCAGTTAAAATGGAAACCGGTTCAAAGGTGGTCAGAGAGAGAGAGAAAGTGTTGGGAGATGTCCACTTTAGGTCCAAATACTCTTAATTTAGATAAGTTCATAATTAAACTTTCTGCTGCAAAGGGGCTTCCTGTCTTTATCCTCTTGTGATTTCATTTATTTCATCTGTAGCTTAATGAAATAACATTTCAATATTTAAAACTTCTGGCAATAACTTAAAAATAACTACAATTCATCGCAAGTTGAGCATTGTGAATTAATGTTTGGACAAATGTTTTGGAATTAAGCAAAGCCATGCCTCCATTGCATGTTTGTTTGAATCAAAATAGCAATTACTAATGCTATAAACAAAAACAGAATATTGTTTCATAGCTTTTGACTTGTTATCTAATCTTTCACCAAACGAAATGTGTAAAATGTTTGTGTTTACAGGGTGTTGAATATGAATTTGTAAGTTTTGGAAAATTGAAGGCATTATTAGTTCTATTTTAATTTGTTTTGCTTTGTTAGGTTCAGTTTATGTGTCCTGGTTGACTGAGGCATCAGCTTATGTGGGCTTGCATCGACGTGATCAAGCACAGCTTGTGTTGAATACTTTGACACAAAGTGATACTTATTCTGTGGAACGATACACAGAACATGTCAAGAGGATAAAACAAACACAACGCCAGTGTCGCTGCCATCGATCTTCACATTCTTCCCAAATATACTCCCCTAGAGCAACATCTCAGCAGCGCAAAAAACGATCCCTTGAAGTACAACTTACATCTACTGTGCAGCCTCTGTCCTCATCTTATAATTCTGCACGCAAACGTAGTCGGAGTTTTGGAGAGTGAGTGTTGCCATAATATTGAATTGCAATGTGAATACTTTCTGAAGGGTGCAGTCCAATAATCATTGGTGAGTGTAATTTTTCCTCCAGTCACATGCCATGTTTATATTTTTCAGTTATTCCATCCACAGCATAGAACCTATCCCTGAGGAAGAAACAGAGGCAGAAGATTCTAAAAGTGGAAAGGGGACAGTGGCTGCAGTTGCAGGAGGTCTAGCTAAAGGTGCGTGTTTCCTCATAGACCAGGTTTGGGCTTTAATAATTTTTCTTCTTGGTCGATTTCGTCTTAACTTACCTCATCAAGTCCCAGAGGTCTCGTGATTTACTTCATGAAAGTTCTGTGGATGAAGCTGGCAAGGAGAAGAGAGTGCAATGGCTCAATGCATTTGGAACCAACAATCTCATATTTGTTATGTATAGTTGAATGCAAATAGTGTATAACATAAGAATCAATTCCGTGAACAGTTGGAAGTTTCAACTGTTCAGAAAATAAAGCATTGTTTTTTATACCGAGGTTATATATTCTAGAAGTAAGTATTAATATCTGAAATTTAACAGTCTACTATAGTTAATTACCATTTAATTTGATATTTCCTTGTACAAATTTTTATTTAAGTTTTATGTAGAGAAGTTTTATTTCCTATAAATGAATGTGTGTAATTGAAGTTTTTGTATTGTGATGTTAAATCCTTAACATCATAAATGTCATCGTCCAACAAGGTTTCTAAAGCGATGTAAGTATAAATGTATTGAAAAATTATCACAGCTGCACCTAGAAAATGAATAAGAAGCTATCTGTTATATTTCTGAACATACTTGTTCGGAATAATTATCATTTAAATTCTACATATAATTGTATATTTTCTCTTGATGTTGAATCTCATTCCAGTTAACAGTAGCTTCTTGAGTAATTATGCATTTTTCTTAGTTAATTTACTTCTTATGATATTATATTATTGTCTATTAATAGCCTTTATCGAGCATGATTTTAATTTGTGATTTTAAAATAACTTATTTGCCTGTTTTGGGGGTTATAATTATGATTGTTCAAATATACAAACTGTAATTGTCTGGAAATAGGCAGGTTTTAAAGGACATGAGCAAGTTCTAAAGTTGTGGAATCATGTGTCTAAATCATTACATTGCAAACCATTGGTTTCCATGTGGTGTTAATAGGAGATCCTTATATTTTCATACAGAAATGTTCTCCTGTGAAGCTTTATCTTATTGTTGAGTGCCTTGTCCTTCGCTCAAAACATAAGCAACTCGAGCTTCCAATTCATATATTTCTCTTTGAGTGGAACAATATTAGTGCTGTAATATATTTAAAAATTGTATTGAAATTATAATGTGAACTTTAATGCTGAGAATTTCATGTAAAGAAATTTATGTTAAGAGTGCCTTCAATGGGCATATTTTAGTTCGCTTAATCAATTTAAATGTTTGTGATTTTTTTAATAGTTTATAATGCATTTATCAGCATCTGTTTGATAGTTTGAGATTCCCCCCCCCTTTTTTTTATATACTGATAATAGAGATTTAATGTTCATATCTTTTGCATTTATATACAATCTAGAATAGTGTAAAACAGCAAATATCTATTATCAGAATAATATATGAAAATTTGGACAATTTATGTGGTTGTTGAATATTACCTGCAATTATCACTTGGCTTTTGTTGTGAAACAAAACTATTACTGTATTAGTTTTGAAGAGTTGTATTTGTAAATGCATTCTAAGAATGCTCATGGTTTGTATGAATGATATATTTACATTGTATGTGTGTGTAAGTTGAAGATTGACAAATCAGTTTTATAAAGATAGTTATGAGAGAATTTGTCTAATGCATTAAGTTTTTATCACTTTTATAAAAACTTAGAAATCCTTCATTAGTGATGTACACAGTGTATTTTATATTCAATGTATTCCCTGCATTAATGTTAAAATAATATCAAAAATAAGATCATATATACAATAAGCTTGAAAGTGCATCAATGAAAATCGTGGGAACATGTATTCATATATCTTCTGAGTGTGTGAAATCTTATTTTAATGACTATATAAATTGTAATTAATCTCTGCATTGTGTGATTTAATTTTCCAAATTTTTTCACGTATTGAAATTATTGAATACTGAAGATGTGATATTTATAGCATATGTAATTATCATTCCTAGGAGTGGTTGATCTGTTTATCATGTTGTAGATACAAATGTTAAAGAGTATTTCGTAGAGCTACTTTGTATTTTAATGAGGCACAAAATATATGAAAATTTAGTGAATACTTCTGCTAATTAAATGACTTATCCTGCCATCAAGTTAGAAATGAATAATTAGTGTATATTCATTCAGAAATGTAGGAATACTTTTATATTTGTCATTAACTTTATTAATTTTTGTTTGTCCCTGTGATTCTGAGTGAAGAAATTTTGTATAAGACATTTTATTTACTTATTCCCCTTAACATTATACCTACCTACATACTTGCACACCTGCCTTCAATTTTTATTTAGACACGAACATTTTATAAGCTGCTTTGGCTTGATACAAATTGTTCATGATATAATGAAATGTAGTGAAATGCTAATGCTTAAAATTAATTTATTATGCTAGGGTAAGTGAATTATGTCAACAATTTAGTTTATTATTTACACATTTATTGGTACGCAACTTTTTCTTAATTTTATCCATTAAATAAAATTTTTATTTGGTACTCAAAATTTTAACGAGTGTAAAATTTTAGATTAATATATTTCAAACACTTATTGGCAAATTAATTTTTTGTTTTGCTCACCTGCTTTAATTGATTTCCTTGTTATAATGTTACAGTGTGCTGTTTCTTAATGGAAGAAAAATTTGTACTACTTTGAAAATGTAGCTTTTTTTGTTGTGTTAAATTAATTGTAATATTTTCTTGAATGTTTTAGACGGTCAGAAAATATAATGAACATAAAAAAAAAGATACTTTTCTGTTGTAATAATTACCTACGTTTTGAATTTTCTTGGAAACAACATTTATGAACAATGAAATCCCCACACTTGGAAGAAAAGTTACTTCTTATATTTTGAATTATAAAATAACTCATTGAAATAGGAATTTTGCTTGTGTGGGAATGTAAATTTTCATGGGTTGTTACTATCTTCCTTTTTTTCTTTTCTTTTTTTTCTTCTTCTTCTTCTTCTTCCTTTTCATCGTTTAATCTGCCCTTGACTTCCCTGTTGAGGTTTAATTTGACTTCTTAATTGTTAATTAATGAGAAGACAGTGTTTCCGAAAATTATTTTGGAACTTTTCTTCACAAGTTCTTTCTTTTACTTCCTCTGCTAAAATCCCATGTTTCCTGCTTCTACATGCTTTGTTACTGTATATTTTCAATAATACAAATAATGTGCATGATGCCCTCAAGTCTTTTTTAAAAATTAAAAATTTTTCTAACACACTTTTGAACTTTTAATGCTTTTATAGTACAAATAAGTACATGAAAGTTGATGTATTGAAATCAGATTTTCCGTGTTTCTTTGAGGCACTTTAAGATGCAGGAGTGCAGTACCTTTTTTTTCTTTCTTAGTGAAAAGGAAGAAGGGCAAGCAGGGAGCAACTGCTATGTTTCTGGCTGCTGCCAACATCTCCACTGGGAAAAGGAAGCAGGAATTTGAAGAGTGTGATTCTTGGGAGTAGGAAGGTGCTGGGTTCAATGAAGGTAAAGCGTTAGGTTTTCTGTTTTCCAAGGGCTTCTTTGGGAAACAAATATGAGGGGTTGGTTATTCTGAGTGATGTAGAATGGTAGATTTTGAGAATAAATCTTTTTTTTTAACAAAGTTAGGTGCAGCAACCAATATTTTTTCTATTTTAGTAAAGTTGACTTTTGGCATTTGCACCAATTGATATTGTGTTATTTATTTCATTAGTCATCTCTCTGTCATTTTATTTGCCTTTCTGAATTTTATATTTGGAATAAGGGGAAAAAAAAGAAAATGACAATTGTAGAATTGAGCCCTAAGTGTTTGAAATACTTTTGAAAAGGAACCACCAAAATATTTTTTAACTTGCTCAAGGATTTGAAATTCTTTATAGTGGTGTGGTCATTGTATCAAATTATGTTTGCAAATAAGGAAATTGTAAAATAGAAAGGTATGTGATTATTATCTCTCTTTTAATGTTCAAAAGGCAGAATATTACATAAAAATTATTTCATCTTTTTTTTTTTTTTTGTAATTGAGGAGTAGACAATACTTCAATGTTAAATTTTATTTTCCTTAAAGAAAAAAATTAAAAATGTAATATTAATATTACATTATTAAGTCTGATAATGGCTTAACAGGTTAAAAATTAAATTACAATTTTTTCATGTGTTATTGTCAAAAAGTTCTTTGAAAATTATTTGGTAATGGATCCAGTTAGATGTTAACTAATAATAGTGGCCCAAGCAATACTTCTGAAATGAATAGTAGAAATGTACAATTTACATAATTTTTGTAGTGGTTATCTATCCTAGTGATGCAAGTTACCTTATGTTGTTTTTGCTAATTAATATTTCTTGTTGGTTGGTCTCATTTGTAATTATTATTTCTTGTATTCCTGCAAAATTCTCTGAAGTTTTATAACAAACTGTTTTGCAAAAAAATACATGTGAGTAGAGGTATAACTAGTTTTTGGTTTTGTCTTAGGTTATCTGACAGTTGGCTGATTAAGTTCTATTGTGTTCATTATTTATTTTGCATTTAATGCATGTTAATGGTTCAGAATTTTGCCCAGACAAGGAGCTGTAAAGTATTCATATCAATGGTTCAAACTGAGCAATGTGTATTTATTGTTAACTGACTTGAAATCAAGTTATCAAAGATATGCGAAAATTAATTTTTTGAAGAACATTTTAAAATAATTACATTTTGCAAATTGTTCTGACATGACTTAAGGTTTTGGTTGTTTGACATTTTGTGTACTCTTTTGATAAAATGTTTGTATCAGCACAAAGCTCTGAAAAGTTTTATTTTAGAACTAAGAAAAATGTAATTTTTTTTTGTTGCTCTAATTGCAGAATGTATTTACTAAGTGTGATTAAATAATTTCAGAGATGGCTAAATTGAACACATTAGGAATGTTGCAGTAATTGTTAGTTCATGATTAATTTATGAAAGTGTTTGGTTTTCATCTGTTTGTTATTGTAGATATGTAGAATATTATATGTAGATATGTAGAATATTATAGATTAAGGAAAAAAAAAAAAAAGCTTTTGGGGATATTAAATTAATGTAACTGTAGGTAACATTAATATGTATTTTTGCAAAGTACAAGAGAGTAATTTTAGATTTTATTCCCATGTGAAAGAGTTAAGCATGTTTTGAGTTATGGGTGCAGATTTTCAAGGGTGAATTAAAGCTGTTTACTTTCAAGTGTTGTACATGATTTTATTCACTACCTCTATAAGTTAAATTAAATATAGTTATTATGAGTTAATGCTCAGTTTAACACATTTTTGTGTGGAATGAGTATATTATCAAGGAAACAGAAGCAAATAAACTAGCCAGCTAACAATGTTGTGAGTTGTGTAAATTGTATTAAATTATGAAATAAAATTTGCTGCAATGAATTGGAACACCACTAAAAAATATAAACATTTGTGTTATCAAGAGCAACAAAATAAAAATTTAGTTTACACGGTGGTACTAGATACTGATAGTTTAAACGCTGCACATGAAACTTAAACATGCTCCCTTTTATTTAATTGAGAAATATCTGCCTACACCCATTACATTTTGTAATTGTTGATTCTTAAGTACATTGATTGAAATAGACAAATATTTTAAGACAGAGGGATGACTGTATTTATGTGTTAAATGTAAATGCAATTTACGTTATGATTTCAATATTTGCATTACAGGAAGGTGATGTGAGAATCTCCGGGGAAAAAAATCAGTGTTCCGGTAAGGTGTTCAGTGACTCCTGCTATTAGTAGGCTGAGATTTGTGCAGAAAAATACATTTAACATAAGTGTTTTCATTTTTGAATATGCAATGTTATTGTGTTATTGTAATTTGTGTTGAAAGTAATTAATTTTATTGTATAATTTTAATTATTTAAAATATTTTTGACGACTTGTATTCAGTTTTGAAATATTCACGTTCATTACATCTGCATGTGAATACATTTGTAAAATACCTTGCATTTCATCTCGAGGGAATGTAAGGGAACAATATATGTATTGTTTCAGTAATTTCTTAAACTTCTGTATTTTTATTTTTTTCTCTCCCTTTGCTTTGTCCCCTTTCAGTTTCTGATCATTTGACTGTTGGTGTTTGATTTCCCAATTAATTCTTTACTTTTTTACTTACTTTTTTGGTCTTTCTAAAAACTATTTCATTTACTTGCCTATTCAGTTTTGTTTTATAATCTTGTCATGTTTCCTTATTTTTGCAAAGTATGTGAAAATGCAGACTTATCAGAAACAAGAGAAGTGTGATATGAGAGATAATAAAAAATATTTATTATCGATTTTTCATAGTAGCAAACTGAGACTATATTTGGAGGAGAGGAAGAAATTTTGTAAGAGAACCAATCATACAAATTCTTGTTCCTGGTAGAATGGATATATTTTTTATTTTTATGAATTAGGCTCTTTTTTTCAAATGCACAAGTATCCTCTTGTTCAAGATACACAGAAATGGACAAAAACTGAATAAATACAGAATGATAATGAAACTTGTGTCATGATTTTCTTAAACCAACATAAAGCCAATTTTTTTAAAAATTTTCTTTGGCTCTTCTGTGAATATGAGGTTTTCTATTTAGAAACTTATGTAGAACTGAACAGAAAAAAGAAGTATTTTCAACAATCATACCACTCAGATTAATTATCTTAATTGTTACAGATTTACTGTTTATAAAATTTGCAAGTTCACAGAAGCTTCTACTTTCAACTGTCAAAGTGATATCTATGATACGTGAATAACCCTATACATTGAAGCATATTTTTTACAAAAACTATGTTCAAAATTTATTTTCAGGAAATAGTGTTCCTAACTCCATTTAAATTATTAGGAACATAACAGAAGGCAATGTGATCTGTTTATTTTTATTTCTTCATTGAGATTTTTTTGCAAAATTGTTGAGAGGATATCTCCTTTATTACAGATAGTAATAATAAGTTCAAGTGTATGAATGTAGATATTTGATGGCGCAGCAGAAGAGAGCATGAAATTGCATTAGAATAAATTTGGAAGATCTGAATATGTGCCATTTTTTGAGATAGACATTAAGGCAAAAAGAGTTGGTTAATCGGCAAGTGAGTACCATCAAACAGAATGCTCTACACGCAGCTATTCGCTCAGTCTCATAAAGAGCAGAAGCAGAACATAATGAGTTTGTTAAAGTAAGTTCTTCCAATGAATCACAATTACTATAAACAATTAGTAGTGAAGTGAATAATGAACTGATCAGACGTTTAACTCTGAATATTCAGCATAAGTTTCTTTCTATTGTGCTCTTGTTCTTGGCCACCGATTCTTTAACATAATATACTTGAAATGTTTGTCGTTTACTATTGGCGTGATCGAATTTAATCGATAAATTGTTAACTACGAACACTATTTCAGTTTAGCGGGTAATGCGGGAGAGAGAGAGAGCGCCTAAGTTCCCAATTTGGTAAGTTTTTACTAAGAAAATATTTTCGTACCATTGTTTCGACGTGGAATGCACAATGTATATTTCTATCGACGTCCATTCTTTTATTTTCGTCTGTAAAACGCGGATTCGCACTCGCCGGGATTCGAACTGAGAGTCTGCGCGGCCTCGTCAATCAGCTCATTTGTAACAATCTCGGCAATGATTGTTATTCTTTTATGCGTTGCGTTTCACCTACCTCTATGTTATGCGTTTGAGATTCTCTCTTTATCAACGCATTGAAAAAATATTGATCATATTCGCAAATTTGCGGTGGATACCAAAATTACGTCCTCGAGTATAAGGTATAAGTATAGATACGCGTGTGCATCTCCTTCGCAATTATTGTTACGTTAGTGTTCGAGTTTCTTGACGCGGAAAGTCAGTGTGAAAACATAAATCCTGTCTACGCTTAATCTGCGGAAGAGTAGACGACCCCAGTATTTGTAGAAGGAGATATTTGGGAAAAACGTCTTATATTCCGGTAAACAGGATAATAATTCAATGTCTTTGCTTGGGTTTTGTAACGTACTGCGGACTCGGATTCAACTTTGTATAATTTGAATAATTGAATAATACAAGGAAAAATTGTTCCATGAAATTATTTTCTCATCCAGTCTTAGAAATGTGTGTGTATTTAATTCAAATAGTTCAAGTTACACTCATTGACATAAGGATAGATAGTATTAAAAGTTTCAAAGTAATCTTGAAATGAGAGAAAATCGCAGACTAAATGAATGTGTTCAAAAATGAAAGATTTGGATGAAAGGGAAGGAATTGTTAACACAAAATAAAATTTCATTGTTGTTCAAACTATAGATCTCATTGAACTTTATGGTTTGGTGTGAAAGCCACCAGTCAGTGTCAGACACCCTATTAGGACAACCATGATTCCATTGGTCTATGGCATTTTTAACCATTCTTTATTTTTCAAGAATTTTCCCCCTTAAACGATTCAAATATTTCTTTGAAATAGGGAGAGAGTGTTTTTTATGGAATATTTTATGTTGAAGTATAACAATATGTTTGAGTTAAATGAAAAAATAGAAATAAAATAACCAAAATTAATTTAACCTATCATTGTGGTGTCAGCTACAGGAAGTGTAATGTCTGAGGCAGTGTTGTTCATTGTTTTAAGACAGACGCCGTTCCATTGGAATTTTCTGCGCTCTTAACAAGTCTTTATTTTTCAAAAATTTTCCCCTTAACTATTTCTTTGAAATGTAGAGAGAGCAGGAGATTAATCTGAATATATATTGCAATTTATCAGTGAGAAGAATGATCTTAATTGTAATTAGTTAATGTTTAAAGATTGAACAAGAATGCTACAATTATGCAGTTTAAAATTCTCCATTTAACCATGATTCTTATAGTTTCCTTTCTTTCTCCTGTCTTTTTGTTGTGAATATTCTGTGAGTAAATGTGCTTCTTAGAATTAGACTTGTAAGTACATTCTATAAACATTAGGCCCTTGATTGTAATCCGGAATGTTTCCAAATACAATTTTATGAAGAATTTTACAGTTGGTTAATGAAGAAATTAATGTTTGCATGAAGTTTTGCATTTTGATTAAGTTTCGGGTATTTAATATATAATAAAACTAAATATTTTGCAGAATATATGAGAAAGAATAAATGTTTCATTTATTAATCATTGATCTTTGTAAGCCTTCTTATCATGTAAGTATTATTCATATTGTAATTGACGAGAAAACAAGGAATACTGTTTGCACATCATTTATTATCTTTAAAAGAAACTCTTATGAGTTAATAAACCAGACGAAATACATAAGCAACTCTTCATTGAAGAGACAGTTGAAGCTATAGACAATATCAGAAATAATATCTAAATGCACAGTTACTTTAATGTCTTTGTAATATTTGTAAATTTACATTAGATTCGCTAAAACTCTTGAGATTTATCTGTTGTGTGATTTCTTTGTGTAATAACTTGTTAAAAAATAAAGTTTTTTGATTAGATTTAAAGTGAAGTTCACATTTAAAAAAATCCAGTATTACACTTTCAATGAAAAAATCATTAGTAACAAATGAAATCCAAATTTATTAATAAAATAATCAAAGTACGTGGGTCACACTTCAATGTATTAATAGTTTGGGATTTAATTTCTGTGCTTATCATACTTAAGCATCCAATACTTTATTTACTTAGAGATGCTATGGATTGTTTAATAATTAGGTGATAGGAGTTGAACATTAGCACTAAGGCATGAGGAGCATGGGGCATTATAAAATATTTCTAAGACCTTTTTTCACTTTCTATTTGTATATTTAAATTCAATTCACTTGAAAACACAACATGTGGTCATCTTGTTCAAGGTATGATGGGAACTTCCAATATAATCTGTTTATAATGAAAGTGCTCAAATCAATACCTTTCTTTACTCGGGAATTAACTTTCTCTACCAGGATTTTCAACTCTTCCTCTATTACTTTTTACTTCAATCTGATCACAAATGTTGTAATGGAATGTTCTGGAAGAGTGTCTTGGTAGATATTGCCCTGAAGATCATCTAAGGCAATTTTTACTTCTTGTTTTGTGGAAGCTCTGTGAAATAAAAACAAACCTGTCACATTTCTTATTATTTCAATCACATAAAAAAAATAAAAATAATGAAGGGTATTTGAACACACTTTTGCCTCGGAGTATGTTAGGCTTGGGAGGACACAGGTTTGTGTGTTAACCAGGTGATCTTGGATGTAGATGGAATTATAATGCACATGTACACACTTCAGGCACACCATACTACACAATCATACTTGCACCCACACTCATCTCATTATAAAATGTCACTTATGCCATTCTAGTTTTCACCCATTCAATCGATGTCCAAATTTCTTTGTCAAGTCTCTAAATCATTGACAATTAGTGTAAAATTGAGATTGTCATTGTTTCAGATCGATCATATGGCATTTCCACTTGCATTTTCAGCCCCAAAGTTTAAAAACAGTTATTTATATTTAAAAAAAAAATCAGATTTCTACTTTAAAATTTGGAAGATTTGTCCTAGCAACATGTTTTTAAATTTTTTTTTGTTGAAAATGTATCTAGCTGTGATTTTCAATCTTCCAACTTGTTTCACAAATGCATTACAGATCAGATGATATATGAGGATCCTGACTTGGAACATATACTTTTTTCATGAATTGTTAAATTTCACTGAATAAATGTGATAAAATTAGTTTTTTTATGGATGTATAAAACTGAGGGAATCTACTGCATGTCATTGCAAAAAGTACTTTTTATGGAGGGACATCTTAATTCATTAAAAGACCTACCCCATGACCTCTCTGCCTGTTCTAATTGCCCAATCTTGCCGTCCACCTCAATACCTATTTCCATTGCTTATCCACACTGCCCGTCCTCACAACGGTACTACTTAATTTCAAATATAAAACAGCCAAGGCCTAAAGAGGGTTGTTGTCATCTTTATCAATTTATCAATATTCGTAAATAGGCATAATTGAATGTACAATGCAGTTATAGAGTAAAAGTTCTTAGGTTAATGCAGGGGTCTGTGGTGACGAGGATCATGAGTATTAAAAGAGGTTGACTGGGTGTCAATAGCCAAATACATTTGTCTCTGCTTACGTATAGTGAACTTCTGGAGACTAACATTTTTGGTTCCCTATATCAGAGATTCACTATATCCATGATGTCAAAATTAAATACAATTTCTCTCCATAATTATTGATTCTATTAATACAGAGGTATAGTGAATTATATTAACAGCATGAACTGAAAATTTCAGTATCTTTATTTGTCCTTAAAAAATCCATTATTTTCAATTGTTTGCTTCATACATTTTTCATTAGTAATGCCTCTTGATCCTTCTCCAGAGTTCATGCTTTCTCCGTACTTAATTCTGCATTGTCTTCAGTGCCTAAGTATCGTAATGCAGTCTTGACACCCTTCAATGTCTCTTGCACTGCAGGAAAACCTTCCTACTCTCTGTAGTAAGTTCCCCATTCCAGATCCACTACCTCCACCTCAGGGAAGACCTATTCGATTATGAACTTTGGCGAACGATATTTTTTTCAAGCTGCCTAGTGTGGGAATTTGTGACATCAGTGGCAATATTTTCTTTTCCAGGAGGGCATTAATTTTCAGAATGTTGTATTTCGTACGATCAGAATAGCCGAGGTTCAGGTTCACTAAAACCGAATCTTATGCTTGTTTGTGTATGTGAAATGGGACCAGTGAGTTAACTACACTATAACTGAGGGTTCACTAAATCCAAGTTTACTATAACGAGAGTCAACTGTATGTACTGGCAACTGATAGCCCAATCAAATTGACCCAATAACTGGTGATTGAAGGTGATTCCATTTACGATATTTGAACTTATATATTATTTTATATAATTTATAAGTTGACAGTGAACACAAACCTTTACAACATATTTGTATTTGACCCTTATGAAATAAACTAAGGCCCTTCGGTTTTCGTACCTAAGGTAATCTCGGACCCAATTACCTCGGATACTTGCAAGTATGTACAAAATAAGATTTGATAAGCACATTTTTTGTGCAGAATATAGAATAATCATATTGCTGATAAACGTGGAACAAAGTAATATTAATTCAATGCATTGAACATATCGTAACTTCATTTTTATATGGGAATATTTAAGAAATAGCCCTGCTGTAAATAAAAATAAGAACTTTAAAAGGGTTAATTTTACAACAAAATCAAATATGAAGTTTTATAGGAAATTTTGTCTATTTTAATATTGTTAAGAGTATAATTTCTGTTAAATTAGTAGTTGTTGAGGCATTTGCCACAAAAAAGAAACAAATTTCAAAACTCCAGGATTTTTTTTCACTCCATTTGTCTAATTTGACTGGGCTATGATAGGTGTTTTCTGATATAAAGCTTCAAAACATCTTGAAATGAATAACTCTTGGTTCTCGTCTTTCAAGAAAATTCAAGAAATTGAAACTATGTATTCACGTTATTCTATCGCCCAAGAAAATATTATCCGCGTTACGTACTGCAAAAATAGTATAGTCAGTTCTTAAACAACACTTAACGTAGACTGCATAACCATCGCACAACTATTAAGATTAGAAACTCAACTACTCGCACTCAGAATCGGAAACGTCTCCGAAGATTGTAAATCGAGATACATTTCCGATCATATTAGTATGCGGAATTGTTATTTTTTAGTCACTTGGGTGTAGAATTCGTTGTGTGATGGTTATGTGTGCATTATATTATAGAGAAACTAGTAGTGGTAGTACAGCACATACTTTCTCGCATTATTTCTAAATTTGCTATTTTTGAAACTTCTGAGTTCAGAGCGATTCTGATGAGACCTCCGCTATTCCTTTAAGAGTTCTTGTTTTGACTGCGGGAAAAAAATTGGGAGAAGTTTTTGGAAATGCGCTTTTTTATAAATTGCTTTAATTTCAAGCAGAAAAATCAAAATGTCCGTTTCAAACTTAAGAGAGTCATAAGTTCTTTTAAATTGATCGAGGAATATCAATTTTGGAGAAAACCGGCTGAACGGTTTGACCACGAACGGACAGACAGTTGTATTGCCGTCAATCGATTTTTCGGTGTCAAGGACCCACTAAACGTGATTATGCCTACACGTATTAGAGGAAGTAATTTACTGTGTATAGGAACAAGATTTACCCACTTTCTCGTTATCAGGCAGTGAGGGTTTTTCTGTCAAAAAATCGGTATTTTGAGGCACACGATTACAATCAATGGCGGCTGATGCCCGAATAAACTGGACGTTGCAGCTCCATCAATGTAATTTCGGAAATGTAATTTCAAAAATTCAGAACACACAATTAATAAAATGCAAGGAGTTCATTACATTTATTAAAACTTAGTTTAATAAACCTCTTTACTGAAATATTACTTACATATTTTTATGCGTAGGATTCTTGTCCGATATATTCACCACCCGCGCACGTAGTTATGACTTTGATTTTCAATGTTGCACAAGTACCATTGTGGGGACGCGTTTTATACCAATAAAATTAATTTATTTCGAAAACCTCACTACCCTGGTGTGTATTGCAATAATGAAAGACCTTCTAAACATATTCGTATTCATAAGAACGCTCGGAAAATGCTGATAAGCTGCAGCAAAGAACTCATCAAAGGTACGTTTTTAATCAACAAATCGAATATCAAATGAAAACAAATTATCTAAATATAAACAATGCATTGAAAACTGTCAATAATTAAGTTAACTCGTTTGCTTTCAATAACACACGATATTCATAAAATTTATTTGCAGCTTGAGTCAGACGAAGAGAGAAATGTATTTCCCTTGGACTCCTTCGGACTACAGCGCTCCACAGCGCTAGTCGACTCCTCCATCCATTTGGTTGCGTCACCAAAGGCTGTATGTTCACTCGTGTAAAAGCGAAGGGCCAAAGAGCCAAGAGCTTGATCCAATATCCGGGAGACCCCGAAGAGCGCTCTTTGATTTCAAAATGATTTCATACGCATCGATATTGCTGCAATATTTTGAATATTGAATGTCATTAAAAGGAAAATGTATATTCCTAAGATATTTATTGAAAGATCTTTTTTAATTATCGGGAGGTTGTGCAACCTAAGCACGAGCCGCCACTGATTTCAATACTTTCTCTACTTACAAAGTAACGATGAAAAAGTAAAAATGTAAGAGAGTCGAAGTGAAGTTCTATTTAAGCGTGGTCGATTCAACAAAAATATTGGTAATCCATGGATTAACGCTTCACTTCCGTGCACGTCTCCAAACACGGCCTCGTTTCAATTAAGCAATGAAGTCAGGAGATAAAACAAATCATTATACGTAGGGCTAGGATTTGTATTGAATATCGAAATATGTACATATAGAGTAAAATGTGATTTAACAAGTGAATAAAAATATTAAAGTAGTGAAAATGTATTAATCAAATATTTAATTCACTTAAATATAACTGAAACTGGAAATCCTCTGGGATTACAAGATCCAAAATTATTAGATTAAGAAATTGTAAGCAATGCATTAATCTAACAAATACTATTAATAAAATTTTAGAAAACTCAAAGAAACTCCCGAAATGGCTCCCACGTGGCATCACGTATTTGCAACCAATAGCAGAAGAAGTTCTTTAACGAAGAACTACAGGTTTGTCCGCCAGAAATGTACAAAGTTATAACTGCAGCTGTAGCTAACAAAATGTTCAGGCATCTACAGAAGAATCGTCTATTGCCAGTTAAATAGAAAGGATATTGTAAGGGTTCCTATGGCTGAAAGGAAATCTTGCTTATAAATAAAGTAATTTTGAATGATGTTAAGAAATGAAAACGTATTTTAAGCATAGCTTAGATTGACTACCAGAAGGCCTTTGACAGTGTACCACGACTGGATTTTGAAGACCCTGCAAATATATCTATTTAATCCCAGACTTATTGAGTTTTGCAAGGCTATTATGAAGTCTTGGAATACCAGGTTACTAATACACAGTGAGGATAGAAACAAGTATTCATATTAATGGGATTTTCCAAGGAGATTCACTATTCTCTCTACTTTTTTGCATTAGTTCGATTCTATTATGTTGTCGCACTCTTGACTCGTATGTAGTTACCTCCATTGGCAGATCTATAATGTCTTCGAAGTTCCAATCACATGCTCCAAGTGATACGATCACTCACCAAAATCGGTGACGTCTGTTGAACAGTGTACAATACTGTAAGACCAACAAATTCAAACTGATCGCACGAGATAGGCAAACGAATCGAATATTGTTATCCTGGATTGGAAGAGAAAAAAATAGTGTCTGCTTGTATTGTCGCCGTGTCGTTCGATTAAAACGTAACTTGGGAGGCAGAGAAAGTCTTAAATACAAGAATTTGGAAATCGAGATCAGCCGAATATGGGGCGTAAAATCACAGGTCGTCCCGATAGTTATCGGAGCTCTGGGATTTGTTCCGCGAAATTTGTTTAAGAGCTTGGCTGAACTCCCGTGTCATTCAAAAGACTGGGAAGTGCAAGACATTGCTTTATTTGGAACAGCCCACATTTTGCACAAAGTATTGTAGATGCACCAACGGTACCTAGATCTGTTCCTAGGAAGGAATCTGGTTATAACCCAGAGTAGATTTTATATTCACCAGACTCGTAACATCTTTAGTCGTTAATTAGAGGAGTAATAATAATAAATAACAACACATCTGAGGTGAAAAAAACACAACCTTTTTGACTCTTCAAGTTTACTAGCATTTCTGCCGATTTGCAGTACTTTCGCATTAATTTTTGGAGCGTTGCAGAGCAATATTTTGAAGTAATTATATACAAAATTTGCCAGAAAATGTTTTGTTTTATGAAATGTTCTTATTAAACTCACTCTTGAAAATTTCCGGTGTCTAAAAATGATACTGTACTTTATAAAAAAATGGAACATAATATAATAAAAACATTCCCCCAAAATTATAATTTTAGCTGGCATAATCCGGTGCCGACCTACGTCGTCATCAGTTTCATCAACCAGGTATCTCTCACCAGCGAGGCACCATCACGGCCTGGACAAGCTCTATGCTCGCGACTGGCGTTCCGACAAGTAAGATAGTTTAGTGCGCGCGTGTATGTGAATGAGGGTTGAGGATAAAACAAGGAAGAGGAAGGAAAGATCGCGCGCAGTTCGTGACCCGTTTGTTAGGGTACTGCTCCGGCATTCGTATTGTTGTTCGGAGAAACCACGGAAAACTACCGATTAGAGCAGCTGGACGCTAGCCCTTTAAGTGCTAACGGCTCACAAATAAGCCGTGCGTAATCCGTACCACTACTGCTGTCGGCTCGCATTTGGGACACGCAGTCTTTGCCGTTATTTTTATTAATTCACTGCTAGGTTGCGTCGCTCATTGAGTGTCTGTGACGGTATCTGGTGGTTTTGGAAGATACTAATTCAGGTCTCAGTTGCCACTAGATGGCGTTTGAAGGCCTTTGAAGAAGTTTTTGCTATCTTTGTTCGGGGATATTGCGTCATCATTGACAGCTTAGCGTGCCGTGGGGACCGCGTCCGACAAAATAAACAAACGATTCAGTCATGCAATCAGAACCAAACTGTTTCACCTTTCCTCTGCATTTTAGACATTCACTTTGTGTATATTCGTCTTGCTGGCTGCATGTAGTTTTCCTGGTTTTCTGTTTTATTTGATTTCTGGCTTTATTTTTGGTACGATCTGCAGTTTTTGGTTCATAACATTTTAGAATATATTATATTTCATTATGTCGAACCCGGATACGTTAACGCAGGAAGAGTTATTAGATATATTAATAAAAGACTTAGATGGTTTCTTGACCTTCACCCTTTCGCTGATAACAACGTCTATATGCGTCCGGATTTTTCGTGCCCCGTGCACGAAATTCCCGCCTCGTGCACTATATGAATGTTGGCTTCGTTTGAGGAAAATTACAATTCAATTTTGGATATCTTGTTTTTTTGCGGAATTGTGAATGCCATTAATTGATAATAAAAGTAAGATATGTATCAAAACACACTGCAAATCACTAAAAATGTTCTTCGCAACTAGCAAAATGGAGTGATACATTTTTTGATGAAATGTATGTTTTGAATTAAATGAAAGACCATAAAAAAAAGATACGAAGTATGCCCCTTTTCTTGTGGTGCAACCGACCCCCTGCCAGTGCACGCCATTCGAAACCAGGAAAATGCGCCGCACACAACGGCGACGCGCTAGGAGGGGTCCGAAGCAGCGAAAACGCTAGAATTCTCCTCCCGACAGCGACCGAGTCCGACCCAGCTGACAAGCTAGTGTCCAAAATCCTGCTACCGTGTGTAGTGCAAGCGTAGGAGTGCCTCCCGGTCAGAGGCACTGCACTGACATCAGTTGACGCACTGAGCCACCTTCGCCGGTCGCAGAATTCGGGTACGTAGGCCGCTATTAAGAAGAACGGTTACCTGTTGAGCAGGACCAGCACGTAGCGGCTGTCGGGGGTGGCGAAGGCCGAGGCGAAGAGCGCGTCGGCGCCGGGGGCGGGGGCGGCCACGGAGACGGGCAGCTGGCGGGAGCCTCGGGGCACGTAGCGCGAGAAGTGCGTCAGCGCGTACAGGATGGGTTGCTTCAGGAACTCGTCCGCGGTGGCGTTTACAATCACGGCTGCATCCACTTCGTTATGCGCGTACGAGGGCCCGCCGTCGGTGTCCAGCGCCAGATTCCAGTCTACCCAACCGCTGCTCCAGTTGTTGATTGCCTAGAACAACGGATGACTGTATTGGACGGAATAAATGAACATGGACGTGGGTATTAATACTAGAACCATGTGACTCAGAGAATCAAACAAGACATATTTTTACCCACAATCAACATATATTGTATATTTTATTTTCTCAAGAATAAGATTTTTCAAACATTTGTAAAATTTTTGAAAGAATTTTAGTCTGACTACAAGTCAAAGTAGTGTACAGATTTTCTGATGTCTCACGTTTATCTCACGATTGTCTGATGTTTATAGATATATTTTTCTCATTTTCGTGCGGAAAGTATTTTTTCATGGACATTATATATATATATATATATATATATATATATATATATATATATATATATATAATCTTAGAGCCGAATTCTTAGTAGTCACTTATAGTTAAAGCGAACCCTTAAGTGATAAGTGCTTTCTCAAAATAAGTGTTCACTTATAGGTGCTCGTATTACGTAGACGTTCCTTATGACAGCGTAATGAGTGGTTCCCTTCAGCGGAAGGGAAATGTGACAACATGGCATTGGCGGCAGCTGTTTCGAAGTTTTTGGCAACCGAGTTTACTCACGCACTTCATCTTCTGCAAAGGGCGTCCAATTTAACAAGAGGCGGACACTCCAACGTCGAGTTGACGTCGCGCGCTGCGACCACTTGTCTCTCTCATTTGTTGTGTTTATAATACTTAACATCAGTTTCAATTGATTCCCCAAAGCTAACTTATGCTCTAGGATAACTAATGTAAATGGTATGAACACAGGTCGGCCAATATTGGTAATAGATTATTAACATATCATGTAATAAAAATGTCAACCCCGTATAGTATTCACATAAATTCCATTTTACAACTATTTAAATTACTTCACTTGTTATTCATATTGCAAATTAATAATTACTTATAATAGGTCTTATAAATCAATAATGAATGAAAGTTAAAAAATTTGGAAACATACCTGAAGTGATAAAGTTGCATAAAATCTTAATGCAACAAGAACTTTTTAATAAGGGGAAAATTGGCGGTCCTCTTTTAGTCATTGGGACTGCGTCTATCATCGGCACAAGTGTACACAGTACAGTAGTTTATTGAAACTAAACCGCTTTCGGAATTGTTCATCATTGTATATTTTCAATGGGTTGCTCATAACCTTAATGTATCTCTTTGAATTTTGCAGGATGTGTTGAGTATAAAAGTCATTATAATCTTGGAAGTCGTTTTCCATAACGTTTCACAAATGGAACATATTAACTGGCTACACTATACGAACACCAGGAAAATGCATTCAATAGTCGGTGAACCTAAAAGTATAACCTGAACTGGTTACGACTGACGATACGACGAGGGAGACATAAGGGATACTTAAGGGAGCAGGCTACCTCTTTTATAGGAATGAGTGCTCACTTAAGACTTCACTCAAGGGCTGTTTATGAATACGATTTGTGTACTTAAGAGAACAATCAGTGTAAGTGACGACTATGAATTCGGCTCTTAGTAAACTTGTTTTGAAACGTATATAGACAAGCTTACCTGAATTATATCTTCAGCGTAATTTTCAGCCCGTGTCCAGTTACCTAATTGCACGCTGGGGCCACCGCTCATGAAGTTCCCTGAAAAATTACATTTATTTATCAATGAATGTTACAAGAAGTTATTAGTTATCTGGACATTTTCCAGTTAAAATTTGGAAACTTTAAAAATTCCGATTTGATAGTGTTTGCATGTAGTTAACAGAGGAAAAGAGAATTTCCGCAACATTACGACTTCATTAATCTATTTTAAAGACAGATTATAGAAACTTGTTAATGAGAGGGGATTTAAGTTGCTTGCTTGTATAGTGTTTTTTTCTGAGAAATAGTTAACCATGATTAACAACAAACAACATTTCGGAATCTTCGTCTGAGGAGAAATCATTACGGCAGCTAATAAATGTGGCGCCTAGTATGAAGAAAGGCTAAATTTATTTTTGTTCGAGATTGAGTTACTTATCATTTCTGATAGATTTTACCACAGTTCTGAATTTGGTTCAAAACCGAACAGATCATATGAGAATACGAAATCAAGTATGGGACTGAGTTACCAAAACCATAACCTGTTATGACATTGATAGTATCAACGTCCGCCAAATCCATGTTTTATCTACAATTTAGCGAATCTTTATGTGAATGGCTTTTGATACTATGCGCTTCAAATCCTGTCATATTCGAGTAGTCAAGGTTTTAGAGAATGAATGCCAGACTAAAGTGAACTATATCAAAGAATTGTAAGTGTCGTGCTTCTGAAATTAAATGTTATCCAAAATGCCACCGCACGTACTGCTCTTCAAATAACTAAACAAACAATTGTTTCAAAATATTTTTACCAAATCAGGATGTTTCCATTTATATTACGATTACCATTTTGTAATAATGAAGGACAAATGTTGCTAATATTGTCTGTTTTTCTTACCCTTCCAGCGATGGTTAATCTAAGTTACTGAAAGTAATAGAAATATCTTTTGTTTTCAATTTTAATTCATCTTTAGTCAATCGGCATTGTATAGTCTGAGCATGAAGAGTTTATACAGGTATATTCGGAAGAAACTGGGTAGTTTTGGCTTATACAGGATAGAGGTACGTTTTCACATGTAAAATAGGTATTATGGTAGAATTTTACCCGTAAAGAATAATGGCTGAATATTAGATTATGTAAATATTAAAGAAAATATTTTAACTTTACACAGTTTTGAAAATGTGTGTTTTTTAGCCGACGGCGTCCATACAAATTCAGTGAGATGATTGGAATTACATTCATAAAAATGAAGCGAAGAAAGAGGATTATTATATACTCTGACTTCCTTAAAGTAAACAACCAAACTATTTTTTCTTACCGTCACAGGCTTCTGTATACAAGACAAACTTATCCGGAAACAGGTCGTGAGTTTGAGTCAGAAGTTCTGGGCTGGTGTTCGAGTCTTTGTACCAATGCACGGCGATGCCCGACACATAGGAATTAGTGAGGGAGTCATTTAGTGTCTGCAAAAGAAGAAGTACATATTATTTTACTTCCATTATTCGTTGTGATGAAATGAATTAGATCATTGTAATTATGTCGGTGTACGTTACTTTGTAGCTTATTTAGGAGAAATTGTATAAGCTGGAAAGCAACAAACAAGTCGGCTGATGACCTGCGATGTTTATAAGACACTTTGGGAACAAAAACATAACATTGTTTAGTATTAAATACTTTAGAATGTTTACTGACATTTCTATGGCAACCTGTGTTATGTCTAAAAATCCATCGTTTTCATTCAGTTTGTTCAGTTTAAAAATACTTTTTCTTTTTAAGGACTTCTAAAACGTTTATTATTATAAAATTGTGTTAAAAAGACACAAAAGAGAGAAGACAATGAAAATGGCAAAACTGTGGCAGACGGCGAAATTTCGAAATTCTTTTTAAAGCAGACCTTTTAAAGTTTTGCCAGTTTTGCCATTTTGAAACTACCGTTTGCTGAAAAACAATTTGTAACTTTAGAATCATCAGGTATAATTTCACATAATACAACGCGAAATCCACAAGAAATGAATGAAGACAAACTGATTGAATGAGAAAAAATTGTTAATGGCGAAGTAAAATCCTTAAGCATTAACAGTGTGACGTTGTTGCTTTCGAAAACATTGAAGATGGTGAAAATGGTGTAGGGGAGGAATACAATCTTTGAAAACAAATAAAAATATATAAATCCTGTTATTAATAATGAAACATAAGAACAGGAATTCACGTCGAGAGTCAGTCACGTGATTTACACCAACCAAACAACCACATGTAAACCTTACCGTGCATGACGTCTTGTTGCATATGATTCTGTTTGCATATTTGTATGTGCTTTGCATATTGAGTTCTTGCATTGGACGATAATTGTGAATTTTTTACAAATAAATATTTAATAGTTTTTATCAAAAAGCGACATCGATATCAGGGCATTGATGCATTGCATTATTGAAATTTGGAATGCAGTATCTATATATTTAAAACGCTAAAGTTTAGTTTAGAAAAAATTAGAGTTTATACCCCAATTTTGTTATTTTTGCTTTTAAATGAGAGGTATTATCCTAGATGTGTTATCAACTTGCTACTATTACCTATTTTGTAGTGGACACCAAGTTTTAATAAAAATTTAAAATTATTCGTAATATAATTACCGCTATATGCCAATATTATTCATACGTCGTTTCCCAGGGCCAATTACTCGTAGTGGTCTAGATCTTTCTTTTTGTTATTTTAACGTCGCGTCTAGGTCATCAGTGACGCACTAATTACATTTAACGGTATGTACCTGTGAAGATGCCATGATAAGGAGATGATAGTGGGAGGACGGAACACAATACAGACAATGTCCGAGGGCGGGACTCGAACCCGCGATCCTTCAGCGAGATCGCTATGGCACTACTCACTATGCTCAATAATGATCTCGGCCATCCGGCCGGCAAGGTCGTTTTCTTTTTGCAGAGTTTCAACCGAATTTAATCAAAGGCAGTGATTTTTGTAGTAAGCGTGTTTTATAGATACTGAAGGCGATATATAGCGAATTTTTTCAACGTTTCGTAGATATAAAGTGGTTTTTAATGCAGAAGATTATGAAGTTTATTTAAAGGTCAAATGGTCAAGCAATCGTCTGAAACATGCGATTTTTATCGCAAAACATTGCTCAAGCACTTCTTATTTATGATGCATTATGTGTTTGAGTTAAAAGTGAAACCGCATCGGACTAGCATCCTTGGCAGTCCATATTAAAGTAACGCAATTAGGAAGTATTTTGAAACTCCATATCCCACAAATTAATTAGATAATATTTCATGCTTAGTGTGACAAAAAGGAAGTATTTCAATAACGTTAAAAAATGAAAAAAATCAATGTTACATAAACACTAATGAATATCCCCCTACCCATTATGTAATGCAGCGTAACGAGTGTTTGAAGACCCCCTTCATCTCTTTCAGCGTTACGTCATTTATGGACGGCTCCCAGTCAGAGTTAGCGTACCAACGAATTACTGTCACTACTGCGATTTATTTCAAGCTGCCCTCTGACCAGGACATAAAGATGTCTACAATGTCACCAATCGGAGCATCAACTATGGTGACGTTCAACCTACCGATGAAGGGCACTACGCAGTCTAATTTTACGTCAGAGACAGCTCTAAATAATCCAAATTACTCGTGAAAAACTTTTCTTACACGATGGATTGAAGAAATGCGGTTCGAGTGGAATATAGTTACGTATCCAGCTCTAGATGCAATGAAGTCAATGTCCAATCTTTTGAAGAATCAGCATACCTCGCAACTTTCTCAATAATTTGAGTTCTAGACTTCTCAGTGTTCGAGTACTCCTGCGATGGACTACTCAGCTTCGGTCATTGTCTTTTTTTTTTTGAAGAAAACCACAGACAGAATTCCGGCATTCAACAGAAAATAGTTTCTATTTCCGCGCCAAGGAAGATTGTTTTGGAATGTTGTCATCGTTTGCCCGCTGCGAGCTTTTGCTTCACTGTTCATGGTGTCAAGTAGGGGGAAGCAAGGTCATCGTTGAACAAACGTTGCGCAAGTAATACAAGCAATTAGAGTGGGGGTATTAGTTACGTAATCAGGTTCTAGATTGTATGAAGCAAGGCCAATCTCAGGAGAATCAGTCATGTCTTCGCAACTTTGTCAATAATTTGCGTTCTAACTTTCTCAGGAGTTCGAGGTATCTCCTGCGATGAACCTTCACCTGCTTCGGTCATTCCTTTAGATTTTTTTCGGAGAAAATCACGGTCTTTAAAAGAAAATAGTTTCTATTTCGCGCCAGGGAAGATGTGTTTGGAGTGTTGTCATCAGTGCTCGCTGCGAGCTTTTGCCTTCAACTGTTCATTGTGTCAAAGAGGGGGAAGAAGATCATCGTTGAAGAAAGCGTTGATCAGCGTTGAGGAAAGCAAGTAATACAAGCAATTAGAGTGGGGGTATTAGTTACGTAATCAGGTTCTAGATTTTATGAAGCAAGGCCAATCTCGGGAGAATCGGTCATGTCTTCGTAACTTTCTCAATAATTTGCGTTCTAACTTTCTCAGGAGTTCGAGGTATCTCCTGCGATGAACCTTCACCTGCTGCGGTCTTTCCTTTAGATTTTTTCGGAGAAAATCACGGTCTTCAAAAGAAAATATTTTCTATTTCGCGCCAGGGAAGACGTGTTTGGAATGTTGTCATCAGTGCTCGCTGCGAGCGTTTGCTTTCAACTGTTCATTGTGTCAAAGAGGGGGACGCAAGGTCATCGTTGAAGAAACGTTGCGGAAGTAATACAAGCAATTAGAGTGAGGGTATTAGTTACGTAATCAGCTTATAGATTGCATGAATCATTACCAATCTTTGAAGAATCAGTCATGCCTTCGCAACTTTCTCAATAATTTGAGTAGTAACTTTCTTAGGAGTTCGAGGTATCTCCTGCGATGGATCTTCACATGCTTCGGTCATTTCTTTAGATTTTTTTGAAGAAAACCACGGACAGAAGTTCCGGTCTTCAACAGAAAATAGTTTCAATTTCGCGCCAGGGAGGATGTGTTTGGAGTGTTGTCATCAGTGCTCGCTGCGAGCTTTTGCCTTCAACTGTTCATTGTGTCAAAAAGGGGGAAGCCAGGTCATCGTTGAACAAACGTTGCGCAAGTAATACAAGCAATTAGAGTGAGTGTATTAGTTACGTAATCAGGTTCTAGATTTTATGAAGCAATGCCAATTTCTGGAGAATCAGTCAAGCTTTCGCAACTTTCTCAATAATTTACCTTCTAACTTTCTCAGGAGTTCGAGGTATCTCCTGCGATGAACCTTCACCTGCTGCGGTCATTTCTTTAGATTTTTTCGGAGAAAATCACGGTCTTCAAACGAAAATATTTTCTATTTCGCGCCAGGGAAGATGTGTTTAGAATGTTATCATCAGTGTTCGCTACGAGCTTTTGCCTGTTCATTGTGTCAAAGAGGGGGAAGCAATGTCATCATTGCAGAAAAGTCGCGCAAGTAATATAGTTCCTAGTTTTGCTTCTTGATTGTAATTGTAGCTTAACGATTTACATGTGTTTTCCTGAGCTCTTTGGTAGCTCTTTTGTCAACAAATCAAATCTGTATCAAATCTGGGCAGGTGGCGAGGGCGGAAGAGCACTTACCCGCTGCGGCCACTCGGGGAGCAGCTGGCGGTGGTCGTCGTGGATCATGAGGTTGAGGTGGGCGTAGCCGCGCCGCGCCAGCGTGGGGCCCAGGTGGTCGCGGATCCAGTCCCTCGCGCGCTCGGGGCTCCAGCCCAGGCGGTTGATGCCGTAGTTGACGAGGTGGCCGTCGGACGGCTCGTTCTGCGTCGTCAGCCCCCAGAAGCGCAGCCCGTTTCGGGCGTACTCGTCCAGGAATCTGCGGACCAATTAACGGCTTTTGAAAGTTGCGTTTAGTTTTTTTTAAAATTTATCTTATTTACGTCTAAAACAGTTAAAACTGTGAGTGACGTGCTATGGGGGTACCGAGCGAAGTGGCTCAGTGCGTAGCGCGCTGACTTCGCAATCGGGAGGTCCGAGTTCGATTCCCGGGCCAGCTATCCTGACAGGGGTTTTCGTGGTTTCCCTTGGCCATAAGGCGAATGCTGGGATGGTTCCAAAAGCCCACAATCATCTTTCACCAATATCCTATCACCTCTTTGTATAATAATAATAATAATAATAATAATAATAATAATAATAATAATAATAATAATAATAATAAACAGCGGGGATAAAGACGTCCGTGGTCTACCAAACGTGTCCCCTAGGTAACGCTAAATGAGCAACAATGATTTACGCCCACAATGGTCATCAATGGACCAAAATGGCTAGTATATGCCATGGGTGAGCGTTGGATAAAGAAAACGAGCTAAGGGGAGAAGTTATATTGAAGTTACATTTATGTCCAGAAGCATAACTAGAGGCTATCTCAGCATTTGCTCAAGGCGAAACTTGACGAAAACCGAAACTTGAAGCTTGACGAAAACCTGATCGAGATGGAGGACCCAGAAGCTGAAGTACAATACTTGTTAGAGGTTCTTTAGAAAGTACCTCTAAACGAAAGTACACTGAGGTAACAAAAGTTATGGAATAGCCACATGCAAATGAACAGATGGTAGTAGTATCGCGTACAAAAGGTAAAATGATTGTCACTTCAACGGATGCGCGAAGTTCATTAGTTGAATAAGCGAAGGGTGAATATTAGCTTTTTAGAATGAGTGTGGAAATAAGCTTTTTGCTGTAGGAATTGGTCATTTTCAACCGTCACAGGTCTGTTCAGCGGGAAGCCCGGTGTAGGCAACCCGTCGTGTTTTCATGCGTTGCGTGTCAGAGGACTTTCTTCGAGGTGTTTGAAATATATAGTATGTTAACATACAGAGACTCCTGTAGGCTCAGTTCTAATTTTACGCTCACATGCGTTCACTTTTATCAAGCACAGTTAGTAGTTTGAAGTCGTACACACACGAAATTGTGTTTTTAAAATCATGAACTTTGGACACTGACAATCACTCAAACATAAATTTCACATTAAGAGCAAGTCAATGTAGAGTTCAGAAATGTTCAATATTCGGAAATTATATTTACGAGTTAGACCTGTTGTATTGAAAACGTAAAGATATCACAAAATATGCAGTTTTGTAATATCGAACACAAACTTTTTTTCAATAATATCTTCTCATAATACTTAGGAAAAGCAATACTTAAAATGCTTCAGTAAAAAAATTAAAACTTAACTGCTCTTAAAAGCTTTTGTGTGTAGGGATCCCTTCGAAGTATCTTAGTAGAAGTCCTGAAATCTGGTTCATAAAATATAAAAGAAAAAGATAAAAGCATCTCTTCCCTTCTGCTCTTGGAATTAGTCATGTGAAAAGAGTATTGATACTGACATCTCACTCATTGACATGTTTTACAAAGATTCTTAAGTCGTAACATTCTCTCAACCAAGTTTTTTTTCACTTGGCCCACCCACCTGCCAACGGTTCCATAATATTCTCACGTTCATTCTTCAAATTTAGACAAAAAATCATATTCTTCCTTATGAACGGAATGAGATTGATCTTTAGCACCCTATACAACAAATTAAATAGCTGAAAGCTTTTAGGAGACCGGGAGAGGTCACGTCAAAGGCTGTGGTGCCGATTTTTTGACCATCTTGTCGTGGATGTCCTCAGGGATGAAGTGTAACATTAATTCAATTTCCGCCTTTAGAGTTCTCTGGAACTTACTTGACGTAGTATTCAGCCCACGCCTGGTCATAATCTGGGTTTAGGTGATTGAGTCCATTCTCGTCCCAGACGACCATCCAGTCAGGAGCGCTCCAAGCGGAGGCAAAGAGGGCCAGGGATTCTCCTACCAGGTTGGAGATTTCGTGCAGCAAAGGAATCTGGGCCGCAAAATCGAAAATACATACTTCTAATCCTACACACACACACTCACTCACTCACACACACACACACACGTATCAACTTATTTCCCATCATTAATAAACAACATTCCATTTAATTATGCAAAAGAGTGTTGTGAAGTTAAGAAATGCAATTTACCATTTAATGCAGACATTTGAAATAGTCGTTTAAAATAACGAAATAATATTTTAAGATAATTGTAATATGACGAATATATATGAATATATTTTTCTATCTGATGAAAAGGATTAAATAAACTTTAAGGATCTTGATAAGTTTACTTCAGTTAGTCACGACAAAATAATATCAAGTAGATAACAATTTAGTTCAATTTTCTACACTCATATTTCTGGAACCTGCAATCCCAGAAGAGAATAATTACAACGGAATTTATTTCGCATATTGCTAGTAATAGTCTAATGAACAATTTTATTGCTGTTGCGATTAGATATCACAAATAATATTAGAATACGTCATGAATTCACTAAAAAATATAAGGTTCAATTTTCAGGTTTTTCCTAGCCGTTCACTTTTTTAATAATACTTTTTTCAACTTGGTTTGGTTATAGTTAAAATGTTTTTCATTTAATTATAAGTAAGAACCTAATAAAGAAATACTAAATTTATACAGTATGAATATATAATGTATACAAATAACAGGTAATGTAAATATTAACAGAGTGAAAGATATTTAAAAAAACACATTTCTGTAATTTAAAAATGTCAAAGTGGCATATATGTTTTGATATTCAGTATATTTAACAGTATCCGTTAAAAAATGTGAAGAAAAAATTTGGACCCATTTTTGACAAACTGGCGTTTGAGCGTTTCTGAAAACGCAGAATTTTGAGCTTGTTTTCACAGAAAATTATTGAATTTTCTAGAAATTTTATAAGACATCGTTTAAAGCAATGTACTTTTAAATACAATAGTGTGAACAAATTGCCAATAATGTAAATATTAACGATGTGAAAAGCTAGTCAAAAAATGACATCTTTTTAATTTTTGAAAACAACAAAAGAATGGAGCCCTTTTGTAGGTGTAGGAAGACGCCGAAAATAATTTCAAAGTTTAGAAATTTTCAAAAATTCTGAATTAACAATGAGAAACGGAAAAATGACATCTTCGTAATGTATTTCCCTCTATTCTTTAAAAGAAATTACAGAAAAAAATTGGAGCCATTTTTGAGAAAAAATTGAAAATGTTCTGGGGTTTTCGTGTAAAGTATTCGTACATTAAAAGTAAAGTAATTTAAATAATGCTTTTCAAAACTGGAGAGCTTCAAGTCGGTCTCGATCAAACGGGGAATATCCATTTTGGAAAACGACTACGACTAGTTTAGGTGCTAGTGTTGTTCACAGATGCACGGATGGACTAACAGACGAAGGAACGTTTTGAAAAGAAACAACATCTTGTACGGTATCAAGAAACCACAATTTCTGAAACCTCACTACATGTCGTGTTTGAGGGTATAATTTATTACATATTAGAACAGGATTTATTTTCTGTATCAGGGCCTTACAATACGAGTTTTTTGGTCGAAATATCGCTGCTTTTTGCCACAGTGTTACACAACTTTCTCTTTACTGCGTATGTTAGTAAGTATTTACCTACGTATACAAAAAAGTATAAATGATTTTACTGAACCTTGAACTTAAATCTCTACATTAATACAACGTGCAACAATCTCAATCTAGATGCACAGTTTAAATGTAGGTGGAATTATCGGAAGTCATTTTGTCGTTGAAAACAAATCAATAATATGCCCGTATTCGGATTATTACGGCGTGTAGCACGTAATTCTGGGAATGTTGCCAACAGCAGTTGCCACCACAAGTCGAAACGAAAGTGTCTCGCTTACGAGTACTTATCCCCATGCAGACCCGGTGGATAATGTGGGTATGGTGGGTAGCTATACCCACACGAAAAATCTCAGGTGGGCAAAATACCCACTCCGAATTTGGAGTGAGAGAAATATTCCATAAACGTCAAATTCCAGAAATGAATGAAGTTTCTCGTTATTGTGTCGACTGGAAACATATTGTATATGCTATCAACTAAGTTGCAAGATCGGCTCAACATGTTTATAGAGACCTGACCAACGAAATCGATTTGCAAATTTTGTTAATTAAGTGTATATCAAAAAATGCAAAACGCAGCGCTGTTTTTGAATTGCAAAACTAAACTGTTGAAGTTACGTAAAGTAAATGCGATAACAATTTGATGACAATTTAATGATCAACGTGACAATTTTAAAAACTGCTTCTAAAAATTTTTTCTTCTTATACATTTTTGGTGAAAGATGGTTGGGGGGTAGGGGGGACCTTTCCCCCTCCCGGGTTAACTAGCCACTCAGACTTAACACCAACCGTCAGGAACAGTAACATTTTCCCTGAATTGGCGAACACGGTGTCACGTGACGCTCACTGCGTGGCCTGGCGCGCTCATGACAATATCTCTAAAACGTGTTAACGTGACTACAGCAATCAACAACACCGTTAATAGTTTTTCCCACATTTCAAACTCTTCATCTCTTTTCCACTTCTCCCTCCTCCCCAACTCATTTGACCCCTATCCTTATACGTTGGGGATGATGTAATGGTTAGCGTATCGGACTCGTGCCCAAATGGGCGGGTTCAAACTCGATCGAAGCCGTGGATTTTTTAGGGGCGAAAAAATCCTTCGTACGCCTTCCTTCGGAGGGGAAGTAAAGCCGGCTCTCCCATGTTAGTAGATTTAC